GCTGCGCCGCCCACCTGGCTTCAGTGGGTCGTTCCCTCATGGCACCCAGTGGAGCCTCCGGCGGCCAGTCTACGGTCTCCACCAGGCGCCGCGTGAGTGGCACGACACACTGAGGACTACACTTGCGGCTCTTGGGTTTGCTCCTTCCACTGCTGACCCGTCGCTGTTTCTGCGCACCGACACCTCGCTGCCGCCGTTCTACATCCTCGTGTACGTCGACGACTTGGTCTTTGCCACTGCTGACACTGCCGCACTCGCCCACGTGAAGTCCGAGCTGCAGAAGAGACACACGTGCACAGACCTGGGTGAACTTACAAGCTATCTTGGCTTGCAGATCACCCGGGACAGAGCACGCCGCACCATTACCCTGACTCAGTCACACATGGTGCAGCAGGTCCTTCAGCGCTTCGGCTTCACGTACTCCTCGCCTCAGTCCACTCCTCTGCCTACGGGTCACTCGCTCTCTGCTCTGCCTTCGGATGAGTCCGTAGAGTCGAGTGGTCCGTATCCAGAGCTTGTGGGCTGCCTCATGTACCTGATGACCTGCACTCGACCTGACCTAGCATACCCTCTCAGCATCTTAGCACGCTATGTTGCTCCCGGCCGTCACCGGAAGGAGCACATGGATGCAGCAAAGAGGGTGTTGCGCTACTTGTGCAGTACGTCGGGCATGGGGCTAGTGCTTGGAGGGCGAGACCGGCCTGTTCTCACTGGGCACTCAGACGCTTCTTGGGCAGACGACCAGGCTACTCAGCGGTCGTCTCAGGGTTACACCTTCAGTCTTGGCTCTGGCTCTGTCTCTTGGCGTTCTACTCGTTCTTCTTCTGTTCTCAGCTCCAGCTGTGAGGCTGAGATCTACGCCACGGCCATGGCTGCCCAGGAGCTTCGCTGGCTCACCTACCTGCTGACTGACCTTGGAGAGCAGCCTCGTTCTCCTCCAGTACTGTACGTCGACAACAAGGCAACCATTGCCTTGTGCCAGGAGCACAGACTGGAGCACAGGACGAAGCACATTGCTCTGCGTTACTTTCTAGCTCGAGAGCTACAGCAGCGTGGTCAGCTTCTTCTGCGTTACGTGGCCACTGAGGCCAACACTGCTGATGTGTTCACCAAGGCGCTTCCGCCTGTTGACCATCAGCGTTTTTGCACTCTTCTAGGCCTTGTGCCGACTGTTTCTCACTTACTTACTTCTTGACTTTACCCGTACTGTGATCATTATATATATACCTGCATGTTTGCCTTGTTAGGTTGTGATCATTGTACCTCTTGCTCTATTATAAAACTGCATGTGAACTGGTCGTGTGACCGCTTGCTTGTGCTCGGAATTTGTGTGGAATCCTCGAGATCCACCCTGAGCTTGTTTGCCTTGTTTTGCCTTGACTGGTCTTGTGACCCCTAGGTCTCCCCCACTTTGCCTATGGGGGTGTGTCAAACATTATATGTTTGTGTGGTTCTAGGCTGTAGTGGGTCACACCATAAGGGGTACACCAGATTAGGGTTTGACATATTTGTACTGTTGTTCCTGCTAGTCACTCATCATTCTCGTTTCTCATTCTGACAGACGGTGATGATGACGTCTCGCGGAAGACGTCGTTCGCGCTGAAGAAATCGTGATGAAGAGCACATGTGATGACCGCAACAGCTGTCGAGGAACCATGTGTCTGGTCCGGTGGGTGCGTGGTTCGCGATGGCGGCGTACGTTGGATTCACGTTAAGGGACGACGGTGGTAGTGACGGTTGCTCGTCGGGACTGTAAGTCGGTGGTGAGCCGGTAATACACGAGTCGATGTTTGACTCTGTTGTTCGTGCCATGGCGACGATTCTTGATGTCTGTGCAGGTCCCGAAGTGGAAGTTGATGGTCGCGTTGGAGTAGTCGTTGAGGCGGTCGCGGGTCGTTGTTGAGTTGACGCGATGTGAGGAGGTGCTGGTCGCAGAGGACGAGAGAATGGTGCTGGTTGTCGTTGTTGCTGAGGGCAGTTGAAGCGTGTATGTCCTGAAGTCCGATACAGATGACAATAAGGAGGTACGTGTCCTCGGTTTTGGTAACGTGGCTGTCGTCGATTGGTGTAAAGGACAACTGGTTGATGATGCCTTTTGTTGTTGCGTTCTTCGAACAGGTCCATTTCCTGCTGCTCGGCGTGAAGTTCGGCGCAGAGATGCATTTCGGAGAGTCGACCGTGAGCGCGAAGAAGTGAACGGATGGTACGCCATTGAGGTCCAAGGCCGGCAAGAACGACGGTTACGAAGGCTTCTTCAGATAGGTTTCCTCCGCAGCGAATGAGTCTGTCGCGTAGTCCTTGACAGCGACTGATGTAACGCATGGCCTTTTCTCCAGGTTGCATTTGAGCTGTTGTTAGTTGTGCCATGAGTCGGCTTTGTGTAACGCTGTCGGATGCTTGATCAATGCTTCGCAGATGTTGATAGGCGAGTTCCGCGGAGTTTGCGTAGTTCCGGTAGGCGCGGATGCTTTGTTGTTCGTTCGGTGACAGGTTTCGGAGAAGAAGGGTGTAAGCCATCAGAGAGTGATACGTATAATTTTCTTTGTCTTTGTCTTCGCCGTTGTGTGGATATGGCCAGGTACCGTTGAAAAATCCAAGGAGATTCGCGCCTTCCATCAGGAGTTCAAACTCGAAGCTCCAAGAGTAGAAGTCCTTCCCGTTGAATGGTGTGGATGTGTGCAGTCGCAGGATGTTGTTGAACTGCGCTTGTACTTGCAGGACTTCTTCGGTGTCTCGTTTGATGGCGGGAAGAGGAGTCGCTGGATGGCGAGGCGGCATGAACGTGAAGGAACCAGGTGAGACCGATTTTGGTGTTTGTTGATTATGTCGTCCGAACGATGAGTTATCAATACTCATTGGTGCCGCTCCGTTGTTTACGCTGTTGCTGTTTGCAGGTTGTGAGGACTGCTGCTGCGACATGAAGTTGAAGAACTCCTCCATTAAGCTTGGGTTGAAGATTGTTGGCGGCGCTACTGGCGCTTGAGTAAAACGTTCCGTCGCTTCCGGCGTTAATCCGGGCGTTGTTCCTCCTTCGGTCTGCAACTCGGAGACCGGGGGTAGAGTAGGTCCCGTAGATGATCTTCTTTCTTTGCCACTTGCCATGTCTTGCCTTTCTTGAATGAAGATTGAACTTCTTGGCTGCTTGCAGATCGGTAGCCTGGAAGAGGCTTAGTGACGAGAGCCTTTCTTATCTGACTGCTCTCATACCATGTTGGGCTGAGGATTTCAGCCTTAGGATCTTTGCAGAGAATAGGCTAATAGGTGCTAGAGTAGCACAGCGGAAGTCTTGAGTGAATGTACTTGTGCTGGTATGTGAGAACAAGTAATTGATTAAAGCAAAGAGCATACAGGAATATATAGAAAAGATAGATTACAGGAAACGGTTATGTGTATCGAGACGCGTAACGTTTCGACTATCGAGGCGGTTACTGTTCACTGAAGCGTCGCTTGCTGTTACGTAACCTCCAGGCGGTTACAGCTCGTAACCTCCAGTTGCGGTTTGATGTGGTACGCGCCTTTTCGACTTCATACTTCTTTTGTTGTGCTTCAGTATCGGGTGAGGTTCGATACTACAGAAACGCACTAAGTCATGCGTGAGAATTCCCAACACTGAAGATACACTGGAGTGGTGAGTGTAAGAAGTGGCATTTCTCGTGACATAAAAAAGTACACTAGGAGCTTGCTGACTTTCTTTCAGGGAGTGGAGGTGATGAGTGTACAAAACACGGCTTATAAACCACGTACCGCATAGCATATTATCGAACAAATGTGGCACCTGCCGAGCCTGTACGGCACTCTCTCGCACCAGTACAACCCGTTGGGTGGTTTTCGGGCAAGCTGAAGGGAGTGCTGGTTTGCGGCATTGAGAGTCGTGGCTGATGTAGACGAATCGCGCTAGATGAGCCTGGCTGCGCCCCAGCTTTTTTGTCAGCGAAACAGTCACAGAGCGACTGTTCAACGTGACATATCAGCGACGCCGACGCGTCAAACGGCTACTTTCCCAAAGGTGACGGCCCGCGAGAGGTTCGCGGCTGCTTCGAAAAAATCCACCTTCGAACGTTTGGCGGATGGGCTGGTCCCGGGCAGCCCGAGCGGTGCGTGTGCGATACAAGATTTTGGTAATCGTCATTAGTCGCAGCGCATGTTGACGACTCACACTGGAATCTGCTTTTCCGTTTCATTCCGTGCTGGGGTCTTGACATTTTCCGTTTCAACAGTCGTTCGCCAAATTCGGGAAACGCAAATTCGCGCCACTCGTGGAACCCTCGCGATGTCGCATTCCGCACGCTTGTCGTTGCTACAGTAACACGCGCGTTTTTCATCGTAATCGCCTGGGTTCCGTCTAGTGATTTAGGGCTCACGAGTCGCCGAGGTGTTCATTTTCTTCGCAAATTCGTTCGGTTCATCCGTTTGAGTTTGACACAGTTCCAGCTGTCCTTCCCGTTTTGCTCATCCGTTTCCGTGGCTACCCGCGCAACTTTCGGCAAAGGTGAGCGATCACTGGGCAACTTTCCGAAGCTGAAAGAGAGAATCCCAGCTGTTTACGACTCTATCAAGGCTTGTCAGTCTTGCGGGGAGCGTCGTTGTGGGTCGCATATACTGTCGTCTGCCCTCTGCGAAGCATCTAGAGAACGAAATTCTGTCGGTGTGCGCTTCCATTTCGAACATGTTCCATTCCCTTTGCCACTCATTTCTCATCACTGCACCTCAATTCCCGACTCAGGCGATCCTTCCACCTCTCCAGCTACAGCGAACGTCCCGTCACCTCGTTCTTTGCAACAAGTTGAGCCGCGTTTGACGGTCGTCCTGTCAAATTAGTCTCCAAAGCTCCGTAATATTTAATTTCTCCACGCAGGCTGCACGTCGGTAGAGGCCGAAATTCGCCATTCACGAGCTGCCTCCAACTTCTGCCATTTTCACAAGCATAGAGTAATTCCGGATTGACGAGCTGCGTCACGCGGCTCTCCTGATACAACAATAGCGACGCCCCGTCTCGACAGATGACGAAGATGGTGTGGCGGATAAGCTGGTCTGTGTCACTCACGCTCCTCCTGGGTACGTCTTGTATTGGTTTATAGTGTTCTCAAGAGCCTGTCCTCGATAGAAATCTCATCGTCAATCGCTCATCGTAATTTCTCGGCCCCATGTCGCTCTTCTTTTCCGTCTTTGCCCGTCCCGTACCCCGTTGCTTATCACGCTTCGTACTCCGCGCGTTTCATGATACATACGATTCCGCGTCGCCCGTCCACCTCTGCGAATCGTCCATGCAGTGTCTCTAGTCGCAGCCTTGTCGCACAGCGACACGCCCACGAATCTGATCCTCAATGGCGACATGGAAGAGCCCGGTGTACGCGGCGACGCCAGCGTCGCAGGCCCGCTCACGCGCCGGCACAGGAAACGCCTCCCCTCCGCGTGGCACCTAGTTTCCGGGTCGATTAAGTACGTGCGCCTCGAGCACTGGCCCGCAGCCTCCGGCGATCATAGCATCGCTCTCAACGGCCACGGACCTGCGACTCTCGCGCAGCGTGTGGTAACCCGACCAGGCGAATTCTACTTCGTGCACTTCGACCTCACTGGCGATCCCGGTTTGGAAGACGAGGGCGCCGTGCGATCGCTGCGGGTCAGCGTGATAGACGAGGACAGTGGGGCGCCGGTTACCGCGCGAACATACGAATTCGACACCTTTTCGCACGGAGGTGCAGAGGAGGCGAAACGCAGTCGCGAAGGGATGGGGTGGCGGTCGCACACGCTCGCGTTTGAAGCACCTGGCGTCGCTGTCACTCTGCTGTTCGCGTCGACAACTCCCGGAATTCACGGCCCCGTTATTGACAACGTGCGAGTGCACAAACAAAGTGAGTCCTTCCGTTTTTGGCAACATGCGAACTTCCAGTTATATCCTCACCTCCCACGCCTCCTGTGCTCTCTCCCCTCCCCCAAACCCGATCCCTTGATCTCGTATCTACGCCTTTCCATTTGTCTACTCGTTGGCATCTTCCGGTCACTAACTGTCATACCTGTTCTTGGTCCGTTTTATCCTATTTAATCTCTGACAGATGCCACGTTAGCGTTCCTCCACTCGCCCAATACGCTCTACCATTCCCCCACAATCGACACCGTGGGACCCGCCGCCACTCCCGAGGCGTGCGGGCGACGCTGCCTCGAGATTCCCAACTGCCGCGGCTTCTCTATTGACATCCCCGTTCCCGGTTTAAGCGACGGTTTGGTACAGTGTTATTTGAAGATGCTTATGAAGAAGCCATCTATGGTGGGGCAGAACCGAGCAGACTCGTACGTTCTGAAGCGCGCCGAGTGCTCGTTTGGGCACAGTAACGCGATGCAATGTCCGGACATGCTGCCTATATCGGGGATGCTGCCCATGGCGTGTGTTGCACACAAGTCGGCGAAGCGCCAGACAGAACACCCTTTCGCCGGAACCTGCAAGGCGCTAAAGCGGACGAATCTGTGCCCATTCGCGGGTGGTTACTTCGCTAAAGGGTTCGGTAATATCGGGAGCGCGGATGACTACAGGCGGTGCTCGTGCGTGGAGGGGTCGGGAGGAATCGCGCGGTTGCAATGCGGACACGTGGTGTAAGAAGCGCGGGAGATGGACAGAATTATGGGAGAGGAGGGGGAGAGTGGGGGTGTGGGGAAGGCGGAGGGTGGAGGAGTAGGCTGTTGGGGGATTGGCGAATGCAGGGCGAACGCAACGTGGATCAAGAGCGGTGTGATGCGGTATGGCCGTTTGTGATGCGGTGTGATAGCAGCCTAATGCGTTCAAGATGGAGGGGAATTACCAGGGATTCGAAGGGAAAGGGACGCGCGTTCAGCCTCTATACTGGGCATAAACACGGAGAGACGATGGGGGCTGCTCAGTCCACTATCCACCAATTACAGAGACGTCACTGCTGCGGATATCTTGATGGGTCTGCTTCCTCCTCGCCCTCCTTCCTCGCTTCTCTCGTTGACCAATCCGAAGTCAGAAGGCAGGGGAAGAAGAACAAGAAGCCGCACCACGCAGGGGGAGGGGAAGTGGGGAAGCCAAAGGTAAGCTGGAGTCCCCCTTCCAGAAGACGCACCCAATACTAATGAAATAAACTAATTGTTTGTTCATGCACAAGGGCGGGGAACAAACACAGTGGGTAAGGGCTCAGCCTAGCAGATCATGGACGTGTCATTGTCTTCCTTAGGAGGGTAGGATAGGAGTAGGTGATTAGTGTGCTGTGTGCACACTTAAGGCAGCAATTTGTGGCGATTTGGAATAATGCAAATTTCAATTTTTAGATTCATACATGCATTCACCGAGGAATAATTGTGATTTGGAGTCATCATACGTGTCTGCAGAACATGCAACAATCCGTCGTTGTCAAGTCTCGAAACGCTTTCATGCAAGTCATGCTTGAGTCGTGAAAGCTTCCATCCCCTACAGAAGAACTACAGACAGTAGAAAGAGCTTTCACTATTTTGCACTAAGCTTGTATAAGCGCACCATACTGAACCAACTCATCATGGCTTTCCCGCTGCATCGTCTGCACCTGGCACTGGCGTCTTGACTACCGCTGCTACTACAGCTCCTACCACTACCACTGCAGCACGTGTCCTTGCTCCTACTATATGTGGTAGTTGGGCTGCTGCTGATACTGCTGCTGCTGCTGCTGCTGCCAACATTGCTGCTGCCCTTCTTGCTGCTCTGGCTGCTGCATTTCCTGCTGCTCTGGTCGCTGAATTTCCTGCTGCTCTGGTCGCTGCATTTCCTGCTGCTCTGGCTTGAAGTTTTCGACTTCCTCTTGCTGCAAGGCTTGAGATTGTCTCTACACTGCATATATTGGGCTGTCTGATGCGATAGGGCGTCCTTGAGCATGGTCACAAGCATGTCATCTGCGATCCACATGTCGTACGCCGATTGGTGGATGAGTCTTCGCATACTAGCTAGTTGCTCTTCACTCACAGCTTCGCGAGCTTCTGTACATTAAGAAGAAAAATGCAAATGATGTTAGATTATTTCAGCACTTGTATACAGACAGCATGAGGCACAAGCTTACAGTAAACCATTCAGAGCAGAGTCATCAATCAAGGCGCACAGACAGAATGTCCTACCTTCTGCGTTTTGAGTCGACTCAAAACAAGGCGCACAGACAGAATGCCTTACCTTTTGGAGAAATCTCAGCGAATCTGCGCAGCGAATGATATTCGTCAGGCTGTCGCCAGTCCTTGTCGCACAGGTTGCTAGCTGCGCAAAATTCCACTTCCCATCGCGAAGTTTTTGCGGGCCTCGCTGGGTCGTTGGTGACGTCGCGTGCGAATGCTGCAGCGTGATTTTCTCGCCATTCGATGACTCGTCGCATGGCGGCGTCGCCAGTCGTCGCAGGAGTAACCCCCATTCCCGAGCAGCGTCGAGGTTTTGCTCCCGTCCGGACCAAAATATATAACTGAACCTAGTAACGCCCGCCTCGTGGTCAAGTCGGTGTAAGGAAGGACAACGATAGGATCTGGTGCTTGAACGGTACTGAAAGGAGTATCTGTTTGAATCGGAAAATTTAGGGAGAATGGGGCAGGAGGGCGAAACCACGAAGACAGGACGTTCGAGTGAAGGCTTTCACACGGGTGCAGCAATGCAATGCAACGCAGCTCTGCAATGTCCTTTGAGGGATCCAGCCTGGATAAAAATGCTGCCGAAGAAGCAGAAGAAGCAAAGTATCTAAGCAGATGAAGCGGCGTGCACAGGAAGCACGGATGAAGAAGAAGCTTCATCGCGAATCGTCGCTCGCGTTGGCTGGGCTCTGGAGTACTGTAATCAAAGCAGATACAGAAAACATTTGCCAGCAGGTGGTGGACTGAGATCGCCTTCCTGGGCTGTCCGAACATCGAAGTTCCGACAGCGAAAAGTGCACTTCGCACGTGCAGGTGAGTAGTCATTGTGATGAGGTGGAAGGCAACGAATCTGGACATCGAGTGAGTTCACAGACCCTGAACGTGCGAAGACCCCCCACGATGAGACCCTTTGACGTGTGGCGAGAATCTGCTGAGGGTTTCGGGTTGCGAACGCTGACTGTAAATTGAGTCGCGCAGGCAAATCTGATTGGGCGTTAGGTTTCGCATACTCCTAACGATCACACACATCAGAATCGGCTTGCACATGAGGTAGACGTGGAAGCTGCCAGGGTGGACAAAAAAATCTGCACTTTTGGGGCTGTCCATGTCCAGACTTCGCAGGAAGGCGCCCTGAGGTGCGATCGAGAGAGGCGATGACGAGGAGGTGGGGTGGAGTGGAGTGGAATATATGTAGCTGGGAAGGAATGGCAGTGGTGGAATGGGTGGTCTTGCGTACTGTAAAAGGCAGTTCACCCAAACATCTTACAACTTTCTGGTCGGCAAATTTTGAAACGATTTTCTTGCTTCAGCGATTTTCCCTGGTGGAGGGTGGGCCTGATGGCAGACTGTTTTCGCCTCCTCACATTTTTTGGCGTTTTGGGGATCCTTTTTGCGGCCTCCCACGGCTGTCCAAACGCCGTGGGTTTCAGCTGGCAAGGATTCGATGCGAGTGTGGTGGGTTGGGGGGCGGTGTCATTCCGTGTCTGTGCCTCCCGAGCAGGGCTGTCGTTTCGTTTTGGCCCCCCCGGACAAATCAGAGGGCCCGGCATGTACGACCCTGTATTTAGCAGGGTCGGGGTGAATCTCGGCCCTTTAGGCTTCAGGGCTAAAATTTATTCCTCCCTGTAAATCAGGTTTGCCGCGGAAAATTCTGCAGCCTCAGTTCTACCACAAAGCTGACAGCTGCACTCCGCTAGTATCAAATTAGCTAGTTAGCAATAAAAAAACTAGTTAGCGTCATTCAGTACGCACGCGTAACAGACTTCCTCCTCTTCCAACTCTTAGCAAAGATCTGAGATGTGTTTTGCTGCTTGCTATGCTCATTCAGGCCTGAGGGTGCACAACATGACCGGGATCTGAGATGTGTTTTGCTGCTGCATGTTGGTTCATGCTACTGTCTGTGTGTCATGGGATGGGAGCGGGCTGTAATTGGTACAAGTACCAGTTGTTGGTTGAGTTGAATCTGTGGTCCAGCCACGCAACTCCAAATTTGACAGACTTGAATGCAATCAAAATAGAAACGGGGGGAGGGGGAATGGAGGAGTTTGGGGGGGGGAGGGGGGGGGAGGAGTGGGAGGGGAAGTTCGAAAGACTTGTTCCAGGGCTCGCCTAAAATCTACCCTTAACACTCCAGACCTAAGGCCGAAATCAGCCCTGTAATGAATCAGGGCCACAATTTTCTCAACCCATCAATTTCAGTTTTCAAGGGAAACCCAGCCCTGGAATTCAAGGTCCAGCAGGGCAAACGCCCTGCAAGCGACAGGCCTGCTCCCGAGTGAAGTGCTAGCTGTTTTCAAGTGCAGTTGAGAATTTCTGAGTTCCAAACCGTAACTTTTGATTCTTAGGAAAGTCCCCTCAAACCAGACTTGATTCTGGACTGCTTTTAGCAAAAATAGTGGCTTCATATAGAAGCGTGAAATCGGAGTTTGATGCTCGGTACTGATTAGAAAATGTTCGTATTTTGCTGCCGTGATGTGGTGCTCGAATGCATGTTTTAGTAAAGTGCGAGACATCAGCGACGCAAATCTGATCTCACTTCATTGCAATTGGCAGATTTGATCATAGGAGCTGGGGCGACGTCTCGGGCACTCAGGGAATGTAAAAGAGGACACATGAGAAGGATGGGGACAATCAAAGTGCAAGTGCTTCGTTCCTTTCTTGTTGCTGAAGTGATTTCTCACGCCTTTGTTAAATTATTAACGAGTCAGTTTGTATGAGGGGAAATTGTCGGGTTTTCCAAGGTTGTGTGTCGTGTCTCATTATTGGGCAAGTCCATTTGTTTTAAACTGGTGCGATCTGGTGCGCAAAGTTCTAAAGCGGTGGAAACTGGGAGAGGTTTCCAGCACTGCACATAGTGGTTCAGTAGTTTATGGCGTAGTTTACAACTTCACAACCGTCACCAACAGGATTGGAACTCAGTTTATCACGTCTGGCTCGAAGTCATTTTGCAAACAATCATTGGAGTTGTCCGGGATATAACCTATTAGGTACGGATACCTGTCAGGACAAACGCATTCAAGGTGTATGCCAACCGACGAGTTCGCTTCTGTAACAAACCAGCGCGCTCACCGCAAGTGGAATTCTTTGATATATACGACAATTATATTACTCAAACTAAGAACAATTCTGTTTTCTACTTTGCATATCGGACTCGACCCGGTTTGGTCGAATCCTGGTGGAAGCTGATATGGACCAAACCCAAACCACATCAGCTTCGGGGAGGCCCGGATCAGGTTCGTCAGAATTCGGTCCAGGTTCGGTGGCGTGCGCTGGAGTTGCCGGTCTGGTGGCAGGAGCTCTGCTGCCATTGGTCGGGCGGCAATTAAGAGGCGCTCTTGGTGGGTGTGCTGCGAGCCTTCCCTGGAAATTAACTTCCACTTCCGGAATTTGAGTTTTTCATCCTTTTTTCGCCTCGGTTTCCCCTCTCCCGCTCTCCGTTTCCATCTGACTTCCCTCCCCGCTCCCCCTTTCCCTCTCCCTCTCCTCCCCTCCACCCTCATCTCACTCCCCCCTGACACCAGCGGCCCTGTGACTAACTTTAACCCCCTCTCTCTTGCCGCTTCCTCTCTCTTGCCGCTTGCTCTCTCTTGCCACTCCCCCTCTCTTGCCGCTCCCTCTCTCTTGCCGTTCCCTCTCCCTCTTACCGCTCCCCCTCTCTTGCCGCTCCCTCCCTCCCTCTCTCTCTCTCTCTCTCTCTCTCTCTCTCTCTCTCTCTCTCTCTCTCTCTCTCTCTCTCTCTCTCTCTCTCTCTCTCGCCGCTCCTCAGGCCGGTTTTTGCCTGCCCCTACTGCACAACAATCAGCAGCACCAGCGGCGGGCTCACAAGCAGCACCAGACGCAGCAGCAGCAGACGGAACAGCAGCAGGAATTAAACGCACAGATGTGGACCTTGCTGACGTGGCAGTGACGTGGATCCGTCCACCGCACCCCGATTGGCAGGCTCCTGATCAGCTGCTGCCGCCCTTCCCTGTCCCCTCAGCGGTTGACACTGAGGGTGGGAAGGATGGGGAAGAGGAGGGTAGGAGAGAGGAGGGAAAAGGAGGAGAGGGAGGAGGGGAGGTGGGGGTGGTGAGTGTGCGAGTAGCGGACTGCAGCAGCAGTGTGCTGTACCCCCTCGTTATAAGCACAGTGGTTCCTCGGCCTATAGCCTTTATCTCTACACTTTCCAAGGTAGGGGTTACAAGAAGAAAAGACATTCCATCCTGACTCTGTATCCCTGATAAAACATGATGCACTGGCGATGGGTTTTTTAATCTTCTTTCATTGCCTGTTTCCTGCTCTCCCTTACCTGTCCAGACTGGTGTGGGAAATCTCTCCCCCTACTCTTATTTCAACACTGTGACTGACCCACAATCTCCCCGTGCTTGCTTCCTATCCCCTCACCTTCATCCCTTCACCCCCCCTCTCGCTGGTCTCCCCGTCTTTTCCAGACTGGCGATGGAAATCTTTCCCCCTACTCCTATTTCAACGCTGTGACTGAACCACAATCCCCCAATGCATGCATCCTATCTCCTCTCCAACGTCCCTCCACACCCCCTCTCCTCGCGCTGCTCTCCCCATCCACTCCAGACGGGTGTGGGAAATCTCTCGCCCTACTCCTATTTCAATGCTGTGGCGCACAATCCGCCCATGCTTGCGATTGGTCACTGCTGGTCCAGTGGGAAGCCCAAGGACTCGCTCACAAACATACTCGATACAAGGTACTGTGCCAATCGTGTAAATGAGTCACGAGTGATGTTAATGTCATTTGTTCATTATGCTTAAGTAACCAATCCTGAATGTTACTTATGCAGCCGGATCAATTAGAGTGTTGATCGATCTGGGGGTCAACCTGTAACACCTGTTCTATAATATTCCATTACAAATATATCTGTTTCAATCATTCACGGGTGTACTGTATCAGAGAGCTGGTGGTGGCGCTGATCAGCGATTGGTTCGTGGAAGCGGCCAATCACACGTGCGGGCCTTTTCCACCTGAAGTGGACGAGATGGAACGGGCTGGCCTCACGCCTGTGCCCTCTGTCATGGTGAGAGAGGGCCCCCCCTGTGCCCCCCTGTAGTGCGGTGCTCTGTGCCCCCCTGTAGTGCGCTGCTCTCTGCCCCCCTGTAGTGCGGTGCTCTGTGCCCCCCTGTAGTGCGGTGCTCTGTGCACCCCTGTAGTGCGCTGCTCTCTGCCCCCCTGTAGTGCGCTGCTCTCTGCCCCCCTGTAGTGCGGTGCTCTGTGCCCCCCTGTAGTGCGGTGCTCTCTGCCCCCCTCCCTCCCCCCCCCCCCCGACGTGCACGAGATGGGACGGGCTGGCCTCACGCCTGTGCCGTCTGTCATGGTGAGAGAAAGGGGTGTGCGGTTGATGCACTGTGCTGTGCCCTGCTGTGCTGTGCCCTGCTGTGCTGTGCCCTGCTGTGCTGTGCCCTGCTGTGCTGTGCCCTGCTGTGCTGTGCCCTGCTGTGCTGTGCCCTGCTGTGCTGTGCCCTGCTGTGCTGTGCCCTGCTGTGCTGTGCCCTGCTGTGCTGTGCCCTGCTGTGCTGTGCCCTGCTGTGCTGTGCCCTGCTGTGCTGTGCCCTGCTGTGCTGTGCCCTGCTGTGCTGTGGCCTGCTGTGCTGTGCCCTGCTGTGCTGTGCCCTGCTGTGCTGTGCCCTGCTGTGCTGTGGCCTGCTGTAGCCCCCCCACTTCCACCCCCCACTCACCCCGGTTCCTTCCTCCGACATGCACGAGATGGGACGGGCTGGCCTCACGCCCATGCCAACTGTTGTGGCGAGAAGAGGGATGTTGTGGCGAGAAGAGGGATGTTGTGGTGAGAAGAGGGATGTTGTGGCGAGAAGAGGGATGTTGTGGTGAGAAGAGGGATGTTGTGGCGAGAAGAGGGATGTTGTGGGGAGAAGAGGGATGTTGTGGCAAGAAGAGGGATGTTGTGGTGAGATGAGGGATGTTGTGGTGAGAAGAGGGATGTTGTGGTGAGAAGAGGGATGTTGTGGTGAGAAGAGGGATGTTGTGGCGAGAAGAGGGATGTTGTGGTGAGAAGAGGGATGTTGTGGCGAGAAGAGGGATGTTGTGGTGAGAAGAGGGATGTTGTGGGGAGAGGCGAGCGTTGCTCTGTGCCCCCCTGTAGTAGTGCGGTGCCCCCCCCCTCCCCCCCCCTTCCCCCCTCCTTCCCCCGACGCGCACGACATGGAACGGGCTGGCCTCACGCCTGTGCCATCTGTCATGGTGAGAAGAGGGATGTGGAAGCGGTATGAGGGATGTGGAAGCGGTATGAGGGATGTGGGAGCGGTTCTCTGTGAACTCCCCTCCTGCCCCGCTGTGGTGCCCTGCTGTGGTGCCCTGCTGTGGTGCCCTGCTGTGGTGCCCTGCTGTGGTGCCTTTCCGCTCTGAAGTGGATGAAATGGACCGGACTGGCCTCACGGTGTGTTTTGAGTCGACTCAAAACACAAATGGACCGGACTGGCCTCACGGTGTGTTTTGAGTCGACTCAAAACACAAATGGACCGGACTGGCCTCACGGTGTGTTTTGAGTCGACTCAAAACACAAATGGACCGGACTGGCCTCACGGTGTGTTTTGAGTCGACTCAAAACACAAATGGACCGGACTGGCCTCACGCCCGTGCCGTCTGTTGTGGTGAGAAGATGGATGCGACACATTGTGCCATCTGTTGTGGTGGAAGGAGCGGAGTGGTTGATGCTTTGTGCCCTGCTGTAGTGCTGTTCCCCCACGAGGTGCATGAGATATAGTGGACTGGCCGCACCCTGCTGCCGTCTCTTGTGTAGCCACGTAAAGCTTGGAGTGACCTCACCCTGCTGGGGCTCCATTGAGATATAGCGGACCGGCCTCACCCCGGTGCCGTCTCTTGTGGAGAGCACAAGCTTGTGTTGCATGCCAGTCGTTTCGCCATGCATGTCCACTGGTTTGCCGTATTTTCTCTTCAGCACTCATTGCCCCTTCCATTGTAATTCCCACTCTCCAACTCTTACATTCCACATCCCACCTCCCCCCTCTCACCTCCCCTCTCCCACCTCCCCCCTCCTGCCTCCGTCCTCCAACTTCCCACCTGCCCCAGGTGAAGCCACCCCGAGTTGCTGAGTCAGCAGTCAACATGGAGTGCGTTGTCAGACACACATATGACGTCACTGACAGGTGAGACCTGCTGTGCTGACGTCACATACAGATTGGTCCTGTTAGCGATGACGCCACAGGCAGGTTGGACCCGTTTGTGCTGACGTTGTCGCATTATTCCATAGAACTGAAATTGTTATATGGAATATTGTAACAGCACGAAGAGTGTAGAGAGCTGTGGTTGTGGCTAAGGTTGGAGACTGCGAGAAAACCGAGGACTCAGGGTACAGTACAGCTCGAGGCAGGGCTCGGAAGGGGGTAAGTACGGTTGGATGGGGGCAACAATGACGTGGCGGTGGGGCATGACAAGCTGAGTTGGGAGTTGGGGAGAGGGCCAGCTAAGCAAGGCAGGTCACGAGGGAAACCCCAAGGTGCCCTCACGGCGGAGAAAACCAAGAAAGGTTTGACAGGTTGTCCCATGCACAGTTGGAGGTGCTCCTAGTGCGATTCGGGGAGGGGAACAACAAAACTCGTAGAGTGACAGAGCTAAACCACTTCTGTTTGTTCTCTCGCTACTGTGGTATGCCTGTATGCTCTTCTTCTAGTGAATCGGCTGGAGCAAATCTTGATCCACTAAGAGAGGCCAAACAGAGGGTGTGCGGAGAACTAGGGACATCGTTGGTCCTAGTACGGATCTCTTACAAACAGAAGTCTAAATGACCGGAATGTCGTTGCGGAGCGGCACCCGGTTGTCAGGGGAAGAGAATTCCCGAGAGACGAAGGAAGATCGCGCGGCCGAGAAAGCCAGCGCGGGACCGGCGGAGCCCGAAGCCGAGGAAGAAGAGAATCGGGGAGAGCCGAGCCACCCGGAGCAGGGAGATCGGCGATCGCGCGACGAAGAGAAGCGGCGCGAGGAGGAGTTCGCGATGAGAGCGGGTCGACCGCTCAGAGGAGAACGGCGCTCGCCGAGGAAAACCTTAGAAGGTGCGAACTCGGCGGAAGTGACAACGCCGAAGGCGCGATCGTCTAATTGGCGGGTGCCGGGAGAGGAAGGATCTTCGGGAGCCGAGATCGGAGAAGGATCAGCAGGGCGCGCGTCGAGGAGGACGTTGGGAGAAGAGGGTAGCAGATACCGCTACACGAGCTTACCTAAGGTGGAGGTACCTGCACGCTTCACCGGCGATCAAGAATCGGGGCCCAGGCTGAAAACCTACGCGATGCATGTGCGCAGCGAGAAATACTGCTGGGAACTGGACGGGCTGGATTTACGTCACTTCTTCCGCTCGCTGGGCAACACGCTAGCGGGAGAGGCGGAGGCCTTCTTCCTGGAAATTCGGGATCTGCTCCTCGAAGAGGAGGAGAGGGACAAGCTGGGCAGAGTTAGGCGAGATGCAGAGGGACGCGTCATTCGACTGGAAGACCCCACGGAAAGGTTCCTGGAAGAATTGCAGACTCACTTCCCGACCCAGACGCCGGCGAGGTTGAGGGAGTTTGAACAGGTGAGGCGAGGGCATCGAGAATCGCTGCTGGCGTACTACCAGAGGGTGAAGCAGTTGGCGGAAGACATCAGCTGTCACGATCCGCGTATCGTGGTGGCGAAATTCCTGGATGGGCTCTCGGGAGAGCTGGCGCGTACTGTGAGGGATAGAACCTACGATCTGGGGCCGAACGCGACACTCCGGCAGGCGTACGAGATTGCTTGGCGACACGAGCAGTCACTCAGTCTTTATGACCTGGGAAGACGGACAGACAGGGGCCCTCGGGACAGAGAGAGAAGGCCAGTGACCTGGAGTGGTGCCTTGCTGGCCGAAGGTGAGGAAGAAGAGCCGGACAAGGCGAGGGAGCGCAGAGGACCAGTCAGACGGGCCAGGAATCCTACTGCAGCCGCCGGAGAAGAACCAGTGTGCTACAAATGCCACGAGCCTGGCCACTTCAAGAGAGACTGTCCCAAGGTCCAGACGTGCTCATATTGCCAGCGGAAAGGACATAATAAGGAAAGCTGTTATACTCGTCAGAGAGAAGAGCGGCACAAGGGAGGGAGGCGCAATCGGATAGCAGCCCTGGAGGAAGAGCTGAGGAAGCTGAAGGCTGAGGAGGTGTCCAGCGGTGAAGAAGAGGAAGCCACCGGGTTGATGGCCAGAGGACAGAGTGAGTCGGAGGATGACCTGGAGGAACCAATATTCATGGCGAGGGATGCAGACCGGGCAAGGGAGGAGCTGGGCCTAAGAAGCGAAGGGAGGGATAACAGAAGCTCGACCCCGATAGCAAGACGTGGCCCGAGAGCAAGCGTAGAACGCTCGGTGGAAAGAGCAGAAGGAGTGGTGACAGCAGCAACAGCGGCAGGAGAGGTCGGGCCCCGACGTCACCCGTTCGAGAGGTTGGCGGCACGTCCCTGCGTAGTAGAGGCATTGGAGGGGACGGTGGCAGTGGAAGGAAAATACCCAGGAACGACAATCATCGACACAGGAGCATCGCAAGTCTTGGTGGGGAGAAGGATGGCTGAACGGCTGGGGTTGCACCAGGAAGATAAGGTGACCAGGGAAGGTGTAAGGATACAGACTGCAGAAGGAGGAGGAGGGAAGTGGCTACCTAGGTCCTTGAAACCTCAGGAGGTGGTGCTGTCCCCAGGGAGCGAGAACGAAACAAGGATCAGGGTGCACTGCCTCATCTCGGACTCGGAGGACTACGACTTACTGCTAGGTATGGAACTGCTGTACAAAGTGGGGGCCGTGGTAGACACCTGGACCGAAAAGGTGACTTACCAGCCGCTATATTGGGATCCCGAAGCAAGGAAGGAAGAGCACCTAGCAGCGAGTCTGCCAGCCCGATTCCTGAGGGGATAAGTGGCCTACCAGGAGCCGTCACCGGAGAGGGTGCCAGAGTGGAACTACGAGGACTGCGGGGTGTTCCTGGAAAAGACCAAACAAAGGAAAGAGGTGGAAGAGGCAGCCGGGGAGAGGGTGGGAGAGCTCCGGGAGGCAAGAGGGTTAGCAGAGCCTACTTATGACTTCGAGACCTTCAACAAGCCGGTGACTCTGTTGGAGCTATTTGGAGGCGTAGGCCCGGGACTGGCAGCCACAGTTCGGACCGGACTAACTATCAAGCGATGGGTGTACATCGAAAAAGAGGCAGAAAAGCGCCGCATGGCATATCACCGGATGGGAGGACAAGAGGATGGGAGATAGACCTGGAGCGTCAGCAGGGTACTAAGGCTGAGGAGAAGAGAGTGAGCCGCCGAAGGGGAGAGGACAGTGCGACAACGTCACAGGCAGGTTGGACCCGTGTGTGCTGACGTCACAGGCAGGTTGGACCCGTGTGTGCTGACGTGAAAGTACATGTGGGTGTAGTACTAGTAGAGATGTCGTGGTGAAGGGAAGGGATTCACGTCAGAGGCTGAAGAGGGCACAGAAGAGGGCAGAGAAGAGGGCAGAGAAGAGGGCAGAGAAGAGGGCAGAATGAGTGGTGCCGTTTTCGTTCACCAGAAGAGGTCATGCAGTACACTCTCGTGCAGGATGTCCATTTCATTTTAGAAAATAAAATAAAATAAAGTTATGCCAGTTTTTTGCTGTGTGGCTTTTGCCTCTATTCACTCTGCATTCAACCACCCAGGGATGGAAGTGTGACAACACCGATTTTGCTTGTGGAGGTGGTGATGTTCCATTTCTCTGAGCATGTCGTTCGAATGACTTTTACCTTCATATTCATGCGTATTCAACCTCTCAGGGATGGAAGTGTGACAACACCGATTGTGCTTGTGGAGGTGGTGATGTTCCATTTCTCTGAGCATGTCGCCCGAATGACTTTTACCTTCATATTCATGCGTATTCAACCTCTCAGGGATGGAAGTGTGACAACAACGATTGTGCTTGTGGAGGTCGTTATGTTCCATTTCTCTGAGCATGTGGTTACACGCACCCCCAACACTGGGAAACTGATAGTTGACCCAGGTGAGTTTGTACCTGCAAATGTGTTATCGTGAGTGTCAAAAAGACCGCCTAGATTGCGATCGTAACTAGTTTTTTGTCACACCTGGTGCATTTATTTGCTAGTGTTTTGTCATCTGTGCCTACCTTCTTTAATCTGCTTTTCGTTCTTTGATTGCCTGTCCCTTCATTTGTCTTGCAGCAAAACTTCGTCCTATGTGCAGACTTGGGGGAAACACGTATGGCTTTGTGTCCCACCTGTTTGATATTGCGCGGCCAGATAAAGATGGCAGGTACCCGGGTCACAAAGGATTTGTGCAAAGTGAGAGGGACAAGATTGTTTCACAGTAAAGTGGCTATGTTACCATGCCGGTGTGGTCGTTGCAATTGAAGCCAAGTACTACTTGATTGCACATGCAATGTAAAGCTCTTTACTCAATCGCAATTTCTGACCACAAACAAATAAGCAGGAAGCACACAAATTTTGCAACCTCCCAACTGTGAACATTTTCTCAGTCACATGACATCATTGATGATGCTTTCTTTAGATAATTGATTACTTCATATGCATATCATAGGGTGGAAAGATAGTGTAGATATTCACGAATATGCGTCCTTCTGACCCGACACCATGTCAGCGTGGTCCAGCGAGCCGCGGAAAAGCACCGAATGCGCTGACATTGCTCACGGCCGAATCGACCGAACCCTGTTCCGAGTTTGATGAAATGAGGCGAAAAGAACGCGTCCAGAAGGCACGTTTCCAGTGGCTAGTCACTCCCCCTTCGAAGTTTGGGCCAGGGAGTGCTGAACCATGCTGCCCGCCGACAAATCTGTATCTATGATTGCACCAGCTACACCTGACAAAGCGGGTGATGGTTCGGCACAGGTGACGGTGTTATCCCTGTAAGCAAATACAGCTGATGCTCACCCCATGCACGCGAAATTGCCATGCACTGGATGGAAACGCTGCCCCCGAGCATGAAACCCCCGCTTGCTGCTCCCACAGTACAAGCACCCGGGGTGGCAGGAAACAGTGCGCGCGACTCGGACAGTTTATCACGTGCAGTTCCGAACAACCAACGCCAACCCTGCTGTGCCCCGTTTCCAGGCCAGGAGCCTGCACTGCGAAAGTGAGTGGACGAAACGAACGAGGCCTCGTGAACGCAATCGCCAATCCACCCCGCCACCTAGGCACGGATCATTGTGCATGTAACAGACATCGTGGGCAAATTCACGATCCCACGTGTAATCTGCCTGTGCGGGGTACAAGCGTTATTGTAGCCAGGCATTGTTCTCATACACCACGTCAGACAATTGAACGTAAGGTTACCAACCCCCAACGTCAAATGTGCAAGCCAGGTGCATGGAACGAACTCCAACCACACGTACAGTTCCAAGCCCCAAAGAACAGACCCCAACCTTGTCCCAGGTGAATTCGAAGTGAGGATAAAATGTTAACAACAATTTCACTAAGACAGTTAGTTCACTCACCTCATCCTGACACAATGCCGCGATTTAATCGACGGGAACAGCTGCCGCTCCACATCAAGCGCGCCATTTGCGCGCACCACCTCGAACACCCCGTCCTGCGCCATGTCGACCTAGCTCGATGGTGTTTCTCCCAGTACGGGTTGCGCCCGGATCGCTCTACGATCGGCCGCATCCTAAAAACCGCCGAGCGATGGGATGTGACGTCCGACGGCGCCAACCCGGTGCGCCGTCGGGCAGGCGCCTGGCCAGAGCTGGAGCAGGCCATGGGGCGGTGGATAGCAAACGCAGGACCCGCCGGTGTGCCCCTCACACTCCAAACCATCCGCGACCATGTCGCGGCGATGGCCAGGAACATGGGCATTCCGCCCACCTTCCGATGCTCGATCGGCTGGGTGCGCCGTGCATTGCGGCGCCAGGGCGTGAGATGCCGTGCGGCACAGGGCGAGGCCGCCAGCGCAGATATGGCGGCCGTGCGCGACGCCCGTGAGAAGATGCCGCGACTCCTCACGCAGCTCGGCGTCGCCCCACGGGACACCTTCAACCTCGACGAGACTGCTCTCTGGCTGTCGGTGACGACTTCTCACGATGATGCCGACCGTGTCCCATTTTTCCATGCCATCCCGTCCAACAGTTATTCACGCATTTCATTACTCATCTCAACGCGGCGATGTTTGCCGAGGGTCGCAAAATAGTGGTGCTGCTGGACAACGCGAGCAGCCACATGCTGCGCGCCGTAGATGCATGGAGCGAGATCGTGTGCGGCGTCAGGACCACGTGCATGAGCCACGTGCGGCTTGTCTTCCTGCCGCCCAATACCACGGCATTCACTCAGCCGCTTGACCAGGGCATAATCGCCACCGCGAAGGCCCGCTACCGCCAGCATTGGCTGCGGGCCTTCTCGGGTTTATGGAACGCCGACGGAGCGACTTCCGCGGTCGCTCGATTCCGGCCGAATCTGCGAGATGTGCTCGAGTGGCTGTCGGAGTCGTGGACCTCCGTCGGCGCGCGCACCATTCAACGATGTTGGTGGCGCACGGGGTGTCTTCCCCTCTCGTGGTCACTGGAGCTGCCGCACGTGCATGACGACGAGCCCATCCCCGCAGCTTATCCCGACATCGAACTCGACGATGACATCGATGATGTCGGGACGCTTATTAACACGCTCGACCTCGGGAATGCGGCAATGACGGCGGCGGAATACGTCGCCATCGACGACGCGGAGCCCACGTGTGCGGAAGGCACGGCACACCCGCCCGTGACAGAGGAGGAGATGCGCTCGGAGGTGGAGCTCTGGCAGGCGCCGACGACCATGCAGGCCGTTTACGACGACGCCGACCCCGTGTGCCGTGAAGCGCGCCGCACTGCTCGTGCGGCGTGCGAGATGCTCATCGGCTACGCCCGGGCCACCCGCATCACTCCGCGCGATCTGTGCGCTCTTTTCGACATCCGCAATCCAATCATAATCGCGCGGATGGAGCGGGCGAGCCCGGGATTCAATCTCAACGTGGCACCGCAGCCCGTACCCTCCCCCGGCGCAACCCCCACTCCCGAGACACCTCGTCCGCGGGGCCGTGTGCTGCCCGACTGGATGACCCGCCAGTCCCGCCGTCAGCAGCTGCTTGATGCCGGGGTGGGCGCCGTGATGGACGGCTATGTGGATGCAGCGGAATGGATGCGTCTGTGAGAGGGGGTGGAGCAGCCAGAGCAAAGTGTCGAGTGAATTTTGCAGGGCCCCAGTGATAAAACATTGTGCCCATTTCAGTGTGTTTCGTTTAGTGTGTTGTGTTGCTATGGGGGGCCAGGTGGGAGTTGTTGATTGGATGTCTATGTTGTGTGTTAGTTGTTTCTCACCTCGAGGAACAATTGATGTGCACGCCTGATTCATTACTGTAGGGGTCGTGTAGTAACATTGAACACACGAGAGAGACAAGCATGGCAACCCCCCCCTGTTACAAAACAAACAAAAGGTGAGGTAACCATATGCGGGTTAGAGGCACGGGATACGCGTGACGAAACGAACGAACCTCTGGCGAAATGATGTTTAGCTTATAGTCCCAGAGCACAAGGCAACCGGGAGGGGCTCTAACGAGCATCAGGTGTACAGTTCGATGGATACCTACCTCCCTCCATGAGGTGACAGTTCCACATGTTTCTGGGCATTTGCAGTCGGTATTTTACAGAATTTGGGGGAAATGCTGGAGATCGACGAATTTTATCGAGGGAAAATGCGGAATCTAGGTGTCGGTGCACAGCCCTCACTGGTTTGGGAAACTCCCCTCGACTGTTTTGTGCAACTGTTTGCTGACCTGATCGGAATGCGACAAGAGGGTCAGCTTGGAGGAAGATTTGAGCCGACCACTCACAAATGTGACTCCTTTCCATTCCACCACCACTCGCTGCGCATCCCGTTTTTCTCCCTCCGTTGGTTCCTCCCCTTGACTCGCCTCACTCCGCTGTGACGTGTCATGGGATCACCCACTCTTCTCCTCTCCTCCTCCTCCTGTGTCCGTTCCCCGCTCTGCCCGTACTCTCCCCTCCACCCTACGCAGAGTGCAGATTCTGTCCAGCCATGCGTTGTTGACCACCTAAGAATGTTCCCAACCGAACTTAGCCGAATCAAGATGCCCATTTCCGGCCGCGCCTCAGCACGTCATGGGGACGTTTCCCTGTTTGCCGCACAGACTTGCTCGCTCGCACCGACCGACCTGAACAGATTGTTGTACAATAACACCCAGAACGCGTTTTCTCATGCCAGTTCCACTGAGCAGGGTCACTTCCTTTCATTACCCTTGGATTCCCGCTTTCCGCTCGCCGCTGCACTAGGATTGTCGGCTTGTCTCAAATCTCACCTCTTGTCCCTCAGACTACCAGCAAGGCAGGCGCATCCACCATACCAATAGCATCCATGTTGTTTCATTCAGATCAGAGTGAACTGTACTCAGTTGGAAGAGCGAATCGATTGAGACCCCCATTGGCGCAAAAGCGATGTTCGGGCAGGAAATTCGGTCTGGTCGACTAGAAATATGTATGGAACCTATTTTTGGTTTCTCACATTCAGCCGTTGCGCTATCAGGGCGTAGTCTGGTCTCCTAACACTCCACACCACACCACCGTCCTTAGCCGCTCAACCACTCACGATCTACAGTTTGTGATTGCAATGCAAGCACGAGTATTAGGGTTGTCGGCCTTTCCATTACTTGGTCTGAACATCTCACAAGTAACTGCTGTATCATGATGTTCGCATCGCGGAAAGGAGCGTGGATCGCATGCTAGGAGGTGCCACCCTAAAACACGGCTTTATTTAGGAACTACGGAAGTCCTTCTGCTTTCCCAAGTCTCTTGGCAACCAACGCATCGGGTATTCAAGTACGTCAACAGCAGACTGCGAATCTCATCAGCATCTCCACGCCATAGCTGAATCAGACACTACTATCGACATCCCTCCAACCGCGCGTTTCTAGAACAACGGACATTCCAATCACACATAAATAGTCAGGTACCCTGATCAGCATAGATAGAAACATACTTGCTAGTTATGGCCAGACGGCAAGGCCAACCTCCCGCGTCGGATCTCGCGGCCAGGCCTCTTCACGCCGATGACCGTTACCGCGTCAGAGCAGCTTCCATGGCGGCCCTCGCCGCGTCGCCTTCCGAGCCCGCGTCGTCTCAACCCCCTTCCTCCGTCTCGTCGCTCCATAAAGCGTCGTTTTCCGAAGCCGCGTCGTCGGAACCTTCTCTGCGTGCAACGTCTCTCAGAATTCCGTTCCACGAACATGCGAAACATGACACATCACTCATTGCCTCCTCGTCCCGAGAACTGCCATGTTCCAGCGAAACAGCGTCTTCAGAAGCTTCGAGTTCCTTGGAACCAGCGGGGTCGGGTAGCGGTCGATTGCGCGTCGACTCTAAGTCTCGAGACCGTCGAGTCGCGTGCCACGTAGGGGACTCGGAGCTGACAGATGGAGTGGGAATGGAAGTAAGCGCGAGTGCGCGCGAGCAGCGGAGGGGGAGGGAGGATACGGAACGGAACGACGGAGTAAATATGGTCGTCGAGCTGGCTTGTAGTCGCCGTAGGGATTCGCAAGTCGTCGCAGATGCGTTGTTTCGGGATTCTGTCGCAGGGTCGTCTCGCAGCAGCCATGTGAGAATCGCAGAGTCGCACGAGAGCGCGACAGTGCTATCAACATCGTCATGCCGACGTGGCGTTCATAGCTCGTTTCATCATCCGTCCAGACTTGAAACTGCCTCCCAACTCGACGTTTCGACTTCATCTTCCCAAGTCCCCGTTCGCCGAACGCAACGACACGTAGCGCCGCCGTACGGAGGGATGTACGGATCCTGCGGTTCCGTACTCGCTATAATCTGCCTCATTAACCTCGTGTCGTGCTCGTCTGCGGTGTCCGTCCTGGCCGCGGCGAAAGCCGCCACGAAAGCCGCCGCCAAAGCCGCTCCACCGCCGGCGAACCAGCCGAGTGTTCTGCCGTCCTCCTGCTTCTTTGCACTGCAGGTAACTTTCGCAAACGGTTTCGCACGGTTCGTTACCCCCGTAATTGCTTTTCGCGCAGCGGACTGGTCGGGTCCACAGTTATTGCGTGTACGACTCAAGAGCCACGGTTTCGCGGGGAAGCGGCAAGGGGAAACTTCTGGGGAAACCCTGGGGATAAACAGTTAGGAAAACTGCAGGGGGAAGCTAGGGGGTGAAACTTTCACGGGGAACGACTAGCCTACGGCGCACGTAGCGTGGAGCAAGTGAGCCCGTTTTGCGGCAGAGTAGGAGGGGGGGGGGGAAATCTGGGGGAATGGCCTCTGGTGAATTGAGGTGGGGATGTGGGGTAGGTTGCCAGAGGTCAGGCGAAAGGGGAAAACGGGGAGGGGGAACGGTGAAGGGGGAAGGGAGAGGGGGGAAGGGGGGCGTGGGGTGTAGGGGTGGTGCGCGAGCGCGTAGTGTGACGGGCTGCGCGGGCATTCGAGCTGGAATTCCCCCCAGTCAGCATCCCGCGCGAGGCGAAAGTCCACGCGCGCGGGGGGATTGCCCCATGCGTGGTTTTCCCAAGGGGGGAAGGTCGAGGTGCCGCGCGCTTTTAGGGTTGGCCTTCGCAGCCTCATCTCCCCTCGCCCCCCTCTCTCCCCCCGCCCCCCTCGCTCCCCCCGCCCCCTCTCTCCCCCCGCCCCCCTCGCTCCCCCCGCCCCCTCTTTCCCCCCGCCCCCCTCTCCCCCCCCGCCTCTCTCCCCTCTCTCCCCCCGCCCCCCTCGCTCCCCTCCCTCCCCTCTCTCCCCTCGCTGCCCTCACTTCCCTTGTTCCCTTCCCTGTCTTCTCCTGCCATTCTCTCTGTGTGCCCGCACGGTCCCTCCGCTCCTCCTCGCTGTTTCCACTCCGTCCTCTCCCTTTCCCCCTACCTCGTCCTCTCCTTAGTTTCCCCTATCTCCACTGCCCTCTCTCCATTGCGCTCTCTCCTCCCCTCCACTCACTCCTCCCCTCCATTCTCCCTTCCCTCCAGGCGTGCGATTTCGCATTCAACAACTCGCTGGGCTTCGTGCCGCTCTACGCGCTCTCTGTCATGCAGCCAGACGTGCCCTTCACCCAGGGGATCCTGCACAGGTCCGTGGCCAGCCTGTAGACGTGCAGTTCTGGATTCGGAGCTCTGTCATGCAGATCGACGTGCCCTTAACCCAGCACCTTTGGTGAAAACGCCGCTTGTTCCCACATGTCCGCTGCTTCCTCTTTGTCCGTACACGCGCGCGCGCGCGCGTGCGTACATGCGTGCGGGTGCGCGCTTGTCGAGACCATTGTGCAAATGTGCTCGAAACCAACCTTGGTTTTCCCATTCCCTCCTCTTCGTTGTCCCTTGGGTCGCCCTGGGTCCTGGCAGCAAGCGATCGGCGCCGGCGATCTCAGGAAAGCTCAAGCCGAAGTGTAAAGCTGTGAGTGTCTGGAAGGTGAGCTGCAATCTACACCCTTTTTGCTACACCATTAACAATTTGTGTAGTTTTCTACCACAGCTCAAGCACGGAGCATATATCCGCTCATGGTCCTTCTGCGTTTCTCTCTCAGTTTATATGTCTCTGCCTGCGCTGCTGTAGTGTATCCTTGATTCTGCAGTGTTCCTTCCACCATCTCTACCAGAATCCCAACCCCAGTTTTCTTATGTAACATATAAACCTTTTGACACGTTTCTCATGTTCTTCATGTATTTATTCCCTTCTCCCCTCATTTGCTTGGCTGCCAGTTCAAAGCGCTCAAGTGTCCTCCAATCTCAGTGATACCACCTTCCAGCTCATCGTCTCCAAGCATTCGCTTTGCAGCTAAAGGACAAGTGTCTGGAAATGTGAGTTATACCTCTCAATGTTGCTCGTTACGTTTTTTGTTTTTAATGTATATATATATACATATCTTAAGAAATTATATTTGGTTATGTCAAAGGATGCATTGCTGATTAGCTTGTTTGTTCCTGTCTTCTGTAAACACAGGGGTACAGCGGAGCGTGCTTCACCATGAGCTTCTCGCAATTGTTGGTGAAGCTAGGGAGCGGCCCCAAGGGTATACTTAAGTTGGCATCAGGGGATGGCAATACACAGTTTCCTGAGGTAAACCAAAGGGGATGAAGAATGAGTGCATGCCGTATATAGATTTTGAGTTCTGCTGCAGTCATTTTGTTTCTGCCATTGCATCGCAGCTTATCAGTGGCGTTTTTGTTTGTTTCTGCTCATGTGTCTGCAGAACCGGAGATGTATTGTCTTCAGAACACTCTAGGAAATGGCTGGTTGAACAGGTTATACTTACATGAAGATAGCATGTTATTACATACAGTAGGTACTTGATTGTCTAAAGCAATAACTGATTCACATTTGAACCTGTACAGATTTTGTTTCCTTCAAGTAGTTCGTATATCGCGGTTTTATGTTACGTTTACGGGGTGTTAGCGAGCTTCAGTGTTCTCGAGAACCAATTACAAATTTCTAGAGCTCTGACAACAGTTTCCCGCCATCACAGAACTGCTCAGGGATCATCTCGTTTGTCACATCCAAAACCTCGAGCACATTCCCAACGGACTCCCCGCGGAAGTATTCCCCCTTGCCCCCTCCACCCAATCGGATTTTCCCTGTTCCCCGAGAATTCTCTGTGGGCTTGCCCCCACCTGTGCCGCACTCCCCCGGACTCCCCCCGCAAACCCCAGCCGCAAAATTCCGCATCAGAACTCGTCTTCCCCCGCAGCCTCCGCAAAACTCGTCTTCTCTCCCTCCTGCAACCCACTTTCTGCTGACTCACTTCCCTCCTGATCTACTACCAGTCCTGCTCACAGTCTATCATGTGCTGCTATTATATTACCTTCTCGTTCGCTTCCGCGTCATCATCTTGCTCATGCTTCTTGTTTTCTTTCAGTTGGGTCTGGTCTTGAATTCAGGCGATTTTCTTGTTAAGCCTGTGTTTTTTTTCTTTTGCTAGGAAAGCTCGCAACGCGGGGTTCTTGTTGATAATTCGTTGCATAACTTTCCTTCTGTTCCCGTTCCTCCCACCCCCTTCTTCGTGCGTGAGTCAACAAAGAGACACCAGATCCGTTTCGGATTTTATCGTTAACGTCCCGTTAACGTCACCGACCAGGTGATGGATCAGAGAACCTTCCATCTACTACCGCGCGTCGTCAATCCCAACCAGGCAACGAAAGATTCGTCCGGACACACAAACGTCAATTCTAACCGGTCAGCTGGTGAACCGTCACAAATACCGCCTATTGCAGTCGGCTATCCGGCTGTCTACCGTCGACCTGCTACGGCAAGCTTGAACCCCCAAGTTCAGGAAACACAGGGAGCGCCGATGCAGGGATCACAACCCCAGGCAGGACAGGTGCAAGGATTAAGTACTGCTAGTACTATACCGCCTGGAGCTGCTGCGTCTCAGACGTTAACTAAACAATCTATACCTCTGAAGTCTATACTGCCTAAGCCGTTACTTCCAAGGCCTTTACCTTCCCAGTCGTCACTTCAACAGTCGTTGCCTTCCCAGTCATTACCTCCCCAGTCGCTTCCTCCCCAGTCGTTTGCTCCTCAATATGGTCCTCCTCAGTCCTTTCCTCCTCAGTATGTTCCTCCTCAATACCTCCCGCCTCACTCGTTTCATCCTGAATATTACCCTCAACAGTCTTATCCTCATCCTGTATACTTCTTGCCAGCACCAACTACCGTATCAGCTACAGTGCTTTTTAACCGATCTGCATCCCATGCGTTTCAATCTGCCACTGGATCACACCCAAACCAAACTCCGAGCCACAGTTATGGCGTGCATGCCGAACCTCGACTTGTTTCCGTACCTGGTGAACAGGCTCGGACATCTGCTCCCACTCCTCTACCTTCCTTCTCTCCCGCTCCTAATGTACCTACTCCCCCTACTCCTCAAGTCACCCCTTATCCTTACCCTTCGCCTTCGCCTCAGTCAGCTTGGCAAAATTCAGATTCCTCATCTTGTTACCAGGTGCATCGCCAAACCCCCGCCCGTGTAACATCACATTCTTTCGCTCCCGCTTCTCATATGCCTGGTGCTGCAACAGGTTTGCATGCCTCAATTCTCGGTCCTTACGCTCCTCCTCCTCCTCACGCCCATGTTGCTCCTGCTTCTCCTCCTGTTGCTCCTACCGTTGCTCCTGCGGCTTCTGTTGCTCCTGCTGCTCCTTCCGCTGCTCCTGTTGCTGCTGCTGCTCCTGTTGCTCCTTTTGCTCCTGTTGCTCCTGTTGCTGCTCCTGCTCCTGATGCCGTTGCTCCTGATGGCGGTGGTGGCTCCGGGCATGCTGTGTCGCTTTGTCACGAAGCCTGGCGGGAGCATGCGCAAGGTGGGCCCGAGCACGGGCAGCAGCAGAACGGGCAGTTTGCGCAGCAAACGTGGGAGCACGGGCAGCAGCAGAACGGGCAATTTGCGCCGCAAACGTGGGAGCACGGGCAGCAGCAGAACGGGCAATTTGCGCAGCAAACGTGGGAGCACGGGCAGCAGCAGAACGGGCAATTTGCACAGCAAACTTGGGAGCACGGGCAGCAGCAGAACGGGCAGTTTCCGCAGCAAACATGGGAGCACGGGCAGCAGCAGAACGGGCAGTTTGTGCAGCAAATGTGGGAACACGGGCAGCAGCAGAACGGGCAGTTTGTGCAGCAAACGTGGGAACACGGGCAGCAGCAGAACAAGCAGTTTGCGCAGCAAATGGACGAGCTCGGGCAGCAGCAGAACGGGCAGTTTGTGCAGCAAACGTGCGAGCATGTGCCTGAGAGGAGGGAACCGCGACCCAGGACGGTTCAGGCGTGGGACTGGGATGGTGTGGAGGCGCGAGGGGTGGAGGCTGGGGCGAGAGAGAGGGAGATCGAGGCGTGGAAGGAGGGTCTTTGGCGTGGTGTGGATGGAGATGAGCCAGACGTGGGAGGAGGAGGGGAAGAGATTAGGGGGGTTGGAGGTGTGGGGCGGGGCGGTGACAAGGGTGGAAGAGGAGGGGGAGAGGAGCGGGAAGTAGGAAGAGAGGAGGTAGAAGGAGGGGAAGAAGGAGAGGTTGGGGGACGTGGAAGAGAGGAAAGTGAGTGTGGAGGAAGTGGAGGAGGAGGGGGAGGAGGAGAGGAAGAGCAGGGAGGAGGAGGATGTGCTCGTACTTCTGCGATTGGAAGAAAGGGGTTCGCTGCAGCTTTAGCATCAGGCGGAGTGGCAGCGTCAGCAACAGCTGGAGTGTCGTCAGGAGCAGGAGAAGCTGCAAGAACAGCCAGAGCAGCAGTCGGAGGCAAGAAGAAGAAGAAAAAGAAGAAAACCAGTTGTGATGGGGGAGGTGAAGGTGATGCGGCTATGCGAGTGCAGCCGGCTGTGAAGGCTGAGCCAGAAGAAGGGGAGCTAGTCCCTTTCCCGTCTCGTCTTCCTTCGCATGATGACCTTTGCCCTGTCAGCGTTTCGCCTGGTAACAGTCTGCGCGATAACATTCCGCATGCAGGGTCAGGCGGAAATCCTCCTGGCTGGGATGCTGCAGGAAACGGGGTGGGAGGAAGGAGAGTTGTGAGCTATGGGGACTTCCAGACGGAAACAAGAGGGGTGGAGTTGCCAGGCATGGTGGTCAATGGTTGGCTTGGTCACCCTTCGCCTGTTGCAGCGAACGCCGTCCAGAGAAGGAGAGTAGTGAGCTATGGGGACATTGGGGCGGAAACAATGGGGGAGGAGGTGCCTGGATTGGCTGATAACGCTTGGCCTGGTAAGCCTTCGCCTGGTGCTGAGAACGGCTTTCAGACAAGGAGAGTTGTGAGCTATGCTGATGTTGGCGTGGAAGAAAGGGAGGAGGCTCCTGGTTTAACTGCTATTGGTGACCGTTTCCCTTCTGCTGCTGCTGCTGCTGCTGCTGCTGCTGCTGCTGCTGCTGCTGCTGCTGCCGCTCCTGCTGCCGCTCTTGCTGCCGCTCCTGCTGCTGCCGCTCCTGCTGCCTCTCCTGCTGCTGCCGCTCCTCCTGCTGCTGCTCCTGCTGCTGCTGTTCATGCCAACAGTGTGACTCCCAGACAATCACGTATTGGAATTCCATTGTCAACCACACCTTCTCAACCTGCGATTTCATCAACTGCCAGTGCTGACCATGCTCCTACACATCTCCCCTCAGCCACTCTCTCTGCAGCACATCTCCCCACAGCCACTCTCTCTGCCGCACATCGCCCCACACCCACTCTTTCTGCCCCACGTCGCCCCCTAACCAGTCTCTCTGCCCTGCTTCGGAGATTCTTAGGAGACGAAGTGGCTGCAAAGCCAATTCAGGAGTCGACAGTGGGAGAGAGAGGGGCTGTGGAGTCGACTCGCGAGTCAGGGGCAGGTGAAGCAGCAGTCGGTTTCAGTTCACGGGCAGGTGAAGCAACAGGTGGTTCCATATCAGCGGTTGGTCCGAATTCAGGGGCAGGTGAAGCAGCAGTTGCTCCGAATTTAGGGGCAGGTGAAGCAGCAGAGGGATCGGGTCACGTGCCTGTGGTCCGTGAAGAGGTGGTGGAATTGGAGGAAGGGGAGATTGGAGGAGAGGAGGAGGAGGATGGGGAGGAGCAGGGGGAGGAGATATTGAGGCGGGTGGAACAAACAGAGGCGAGGGGAAGAGGTGGGAAGAGTGAGAGGCGAGTGGTGGAAGAGGCAGAGGCGGGAGGAAGCGGGGAAGGGGGCGAGGAAGATAGGAGGAGAGGGGAGACTGCAGGGGTGCAGGGAGTGGTAGGCGCGAGCAGAGAGGCGAGGAGCGGGGTGGGTGGGGTTGGGAATAGTAGGAAAGGTGGGCATGGTGAAAGAATGCCGTGTCGGGAGACTGAGAAGGTAAGAAGCAGTGGAGTGCAAGAGAAGAATGGGGAGGGGAATGATGGGTTGGGAAAGGGTGCTGGCAGGGCAGTTGGTGCTGACAAAGATGAGAAGCAGCAGCAGCATGAGAAAGAGAAGCGAGAAGAGGGGAGAGGAAGCGTCCAAGTGGGGGTAGCTGGTGCTGGGGAGGAGAGGCCGAGGAAGACTGTTGATGAGACGAATATTGTGGTTGAGAAGGGAGAAGAGAGGCAGAGGCGGTATGGTAAAGGCTCGAATCGGTTGGTCAGTAGTGGCAGAGGGGGCCTTGGAAGAGGAGGGGAAGGAAGAGAAGGGAGAGAAGGAGGTGAAGGAAGAGAGGAGAGTGGAGGAGGAGAAGGAAGAGAAGGGAGAGGAGAGGGAAGAAAGGCGAGAGAAGGAGAAGGGAGAGAGGGGAGCAGAGGAGAAGGAAGAGCGGGGAGAAAAGGAGAAGAAGAAGGAAGAGAGGTGAGAGAAAGAGGAAGTCGGAGGGACGCCAGGAGTAGTAGAAGCAGAAGCAACAGCAGAGGTAGGAGCAGGGGCAGGAGAGATAAAAACAGAAGAAGCAGAAGTAGAAGCAGAAGCAGGAGAAGGAGCGGAGGTAGCAGCAGCACCAGCAGCAGCAGGAGCAGGAGCAGGGGAGGCAGCAGCAACAGCAGCAGCAGCAGCAGAAAGAGCAGCAGCAGCGGCAGCCAATCAAGCGACAGCCACAGAAGAAGCAGGAGCAGGGTTGAGAAAGGCGCGAGGGTTAGGAGAAGGGAGAAACGTGATGTAGAGAGCAGTAGAAGCAGCAGTCGCAGCAGCAGCAGCAGCAGGAGAGTATATAGTCATAGCAATAGCAGTGGAAGTAGCAGGAGAAGCAGCAGAAGCACTGACAGGAGCAGGAGCAAGAGCAGAGGTGGGAGCAGAAGTAGCAGTGATGAAAGTAGAAGTGTGAACTCGAGCTCAGAGCATGCTAGAAGAAGGAGCAGTGATGGTAACAGTGACAGGAGCGGAAGCAGCGTTAGAGAAAGCAGCGATAGGAGAAGCAACGACAGGAGCAGAAGCGAGAGTGTGGGAAAGAGTGGCAGCAATGAGACACAGAGCAGGGCGAAGAGGAGTGGCAGCGGAGGGGGAAGAGGAAGGAGCAGCAGGAAGAGCAGGAGCAGCCGAGGCAGTGAGAGAAGCAGAAGTAGTAGTGGTGGCAGAGGGAGTAGTAGCAGTGGGACACACACCACCAGTGATAATAAAAGACAGACTTTGAGGAAGAGTGGTGGTGGAGACAGAAGCAGGGGCAAGGAAAAGAGCAGAAGTAGTAGTGGTGATAGGGGGAGGATTAGCAGCAGGCCACACACCAGAGGGAGGACTTTTAGGAAGAGTGGTGGTGGAGACAGAAGCAGGGGCAAGGAGATGAGTGTTAGTACTAGTGGTAGTAGTGGTAGGAGGTATAGTCGGGACAGCAGCAGCAGCAGAAGCAAAAGCAGCAGCAGCAGAAACAGAAGCAGCAGCAGCAGCAGTAGAACCAGGAGCAGTAGGAGGAGCAGGAGTAGCAGCAGGAGCATGGAAAGGAACAAGAGGAGGAGCAGCAGAAGAAGCGAGAGGAGTAAAGGAACGAGTGCTAGAAGTAGCAGCGACAGAAGCAGCAGCAGCAGGAGCAGGAGCAGGAGCAGCAGTAGGATTAGGAGCAGCAAGAGTGGAAGGAGCAGCAGCAGCAGCAGCTGCAGCAGGAGCAGGAGCAGCAGCCTGAGCGACAGGAGGAGCAAGGAGGAGCTGATTTCGAAAAAAGGAAAGGCTTTGAAGCTTCCTCATGCAGAATCTTCTGGCATGGACAGGATGGGAGGGGCTTCACTAGAGGAGAGTGGGTCTGGGTCTAGGGGCAGTGAGGGGAGGAGATATGAAAAGGTGGTGGGGGAAGGAGGGAAAGGTGGAGGCAGTGACGGGGGGAGGAGTGAGAAGGTGGTGGAGGGAGGAGAGGGAGATGGAAGGAGTGAGGAGAAGAGGAGTGAGGAGAAGAGGAGTGAGGAGAAGAGGAGTGAGATGGTGATGCCGCCTTCCGAAGCTGTTTCTCTCGTCTGTCCTGCCGCTGATAGTGATACTGCCGCACCTCCTAATCTTGTTGCTGCTGCTAATGCTGTCCCTGGTGATTTTGTTGCTACTGCTGTAACAGCTGCTGATGCTGATGTGGATCCTGCTGCCACTCGCAAAGATGCTGACGTGCAGCCAGAAAATCCGCCACAGCCTGAGAGGCAAGCACAGCCGGACAGCCGGACGCTGTCGGAAAGTCAAGTGCAATCTGAGAGTCTGCTACAGCCGGAGGGCCTGCCACAGCTAGAGCCAGAGGGCCCGCCACAGCTACAACCAGAGGGCCCGCCACAGGTACAACCAGAGGGCCCGCCACAGCTACAACCAGAGGGCTCGCTACAGCTACAGCCAGAGGGCCCGCCACAGCTACAGCCAGAGGGCCCGCCACAGCTACAGTCAGAGGGCCTGCCACAGCTACAGCCAGAGGGCCCGCCACAGCTACAACCGGAGGGCCCGCTACAGCCTGCTGCCCTTGAATCCACGAAGCAGAAGAAGCCTGTAACCTTCAAGGTTGCTCCGCCCAAAAAGTTGGCTGGTAAAGATGGGGGGAAACGAGCTGGGAGTAAATTGGAACAGGTGGGAATACCGAAGAGGCTTGAGGGCCTGTTTGCAACACACAGAAAGCCTGTGTCGTTCAGGGCACAGTCTCCTGCTGCTGCTGCTGCTTCTGCTGGTCGTGTTGCTGCTGCTTCTGCTGGTCGTGTTGCTGCTGCTGCTTCTGCTGGTCGTGTTGCTGCTGCTGCTTCTGCTGGTCGTGTTGCTGCTGCTAGTGGTGGTGATGTCACTGGTGATGCTGTTGGCGTGCCTGTCAGTTGTGATGCGCGTGCTGCTGCCACTTCTGCTGCTGCCGGCCCTTATGGCGCTGCTTTTCCCACTCCTGCTGTTGATGTCGATGGTGGTTCAGCTGTTGATGCTGCTGCTGCTGCTGATGCTGGCGTGCCTGTCAGTTCTGATGTGCTTTCCGCTGCTGCTGCGGCTGGTCCTAATGCTGTTGCTCCTGCGGCCCCGGCTGCTGATGTTGATGGTGGTTCCGCTGCTCATGATGCTGCTGCTGGTGCCAGTGCTGGTCGTGTTGCTCCTTCTTCTAGTGATGCTATTGGTGATGCTGCTGGCGCGCCTGTCAATTCCGATGCTCGTGCTGCCACTGCTGCTGTTGCTGGTGGTCCTGATGTTGCGGTTGCTGCTGCTGCTGCTGGTGCGGGTGCTGTTACCACAGGCGCTGAAGCCGCTGGTCGTGTTGGTGTTGATCGTGCTGTGTTGGTTTCAGCTACTGCGGCTGGTGCTACTGCGATGGTCACTGGTGACACTGGTGCTGATGCAGCTGGTGCTGCAGCTGCTGCTATTGCGATAGGCACTGGTGCCGCTGAGTCACCTGCTGCTACCGCGGCTATTGCTGCCAGTGCGACGGGCACTAGTGCCACTGTTGCTGATGCTGCTGGAGCAGTTGGTGATGCCTGTGCTGCTGGTGCAGTTGGTGATGCCTGTGCTGCTGGTGCAGTTGGTGATGCCTGTGCTGCTGGTGCAGTTGGTGATGCCTGTGCTGCTGGTGCAGTTGGTGATGCCTGTGCTGCTGGTGCAGTTGGTGATGCCTGTGCTGCTGGTGCAGTTGGTGATGCCTGTGCTGCTGGTGCAGTTGGTGATGCCTGTGCTGCTGGTGCAGTTGGTGATGCCTGTGCTGCTGGTGCAGCTGCCACTGCCGCTACTGCGGCTACTGCTGCCACTGCGACGGGCGCAGGTGCCACTGGTGCTGATGCTGCTGATGTCGCTGCGACTGCTGCTACTGCTGCGACTGCTGCTACTGCTGCTACATCGATGGGCACCGGTGCCACTGCTGGATCGAAACCCTTGCGAAAGTCCCGGTGGTCTCCCGTGCCCCCTACTCCGGCTCCTACTGCTGCCACTGCTGCTAATGCATCATCTGCTGTTCCCCCCGATGCTCCTCCTGCCCTTCACGTACCACCTGTCCCTGCGCCTGTCTCTGCCCGTGCCTTGCACCTGGCGTTTGTCCCTCTATCTGTGCTGTGGAGGACGCAAGCCAAGGCTGCAGCAACGGTCAAGGGGACTGAGCAAGGAGGTGCAGCTGCAGCAGTGGAGGGGCGAGTGGGTAAGGGGACTGGGCGAGGGGGTGCGGCAGCAGTGGAGGGGGCAGTGGGTAAGGGGACTGGGCCAGGGGTTGAAGCGGCAGCAGCGGAGGGGGCAGTGGTCAAGGGGACTGGTCAAGGGGAGTCTGTAGCAAGAGAAGGGAGGCAACAAACGGCTGTAGCAGGAGAGGAGGGTCCACAAAAGGCTGTAGCAGCGGAGGGAGAGAGTCAACAAAAAGCTATAGCAGAGGAGGAGAGTCAGCAAAAGGCTAAAGCAGTGGAGGAGAGTCAACAGAAGGCTGTAGCAGCAGCGGAGGACAGTCAACAGAAGGCTGTAGCAGCAGAGGACAGTCAACAGAAGGCTGTAGCAGCAGAGGACAGTCAACAGAAGGCTGTAGCAGCGGAGGAGGGTCAAGAGAAGTCTGTAGCAGGGGAGGGGAGTCAACGAGAGGCTATAGTTGAGGAGGAGAGTCAGCAACAGGGGGTAGTAGCAGGGGAGGAGGGTCAAGAGAAGTCTTTAGCAAGGAAAAGGAGTCAACGAGAGGCTATAATTGAGGAGGAGAGTCAGCAAATGGCTTCTGCAGGAGAGGCGAGTCAACGCAAGTCGTCAGCTGTTCAGGGGATTGAGGGAGCAACTGTAGCAGGAAAAAAGAGTCAACGCAAGTCTTTACTGGTCAAAGGGCGGAAGCAAGGAATAGCTGCAGCAGACACGAGGAAACACAAGACGATAGTTCTCAAGAAAACCCAGCTCAAGATTCTGGCACCCAGGCAAACCGCAGGGACAAAAGCATCGATCAGTGGTGGGGATAAGGGTGCTGCTGCCGCCGCCGCTGCTGCTGCTGCTGCTGCTGCTGCTGCTGCTGCTGCTGCTGCTGCTGCTGCTGCTGCTGTTGCTGCTAGTGCCTCTGGGAATGAAATCCGTGGGGACGGTGGCAGCGGAAGTCATGGGGTTGGTGGTGGTGGTGGCTATAACACGAGTGGTGGTGGTGGTGTTGAAGGAGCTGGTTCTGGTTCCATTCGCTATAAGAACGTGGCAGCTGTAGGGGCGAAGGTGGGGAGTGACAGTATCGAGAGGGTGATGCTGCAGGCGCGACAGCACGTGAGGCCGCGGTCCAGCCGGGTCACTCGCAGACTTGCTCTCTCACTGTCCCCAGGCCGCCTCTCGGAGTCCCCAGTAGGGGGATTCTTAGAGCAGCAGCAGCAGCAGCAGCAGCAGCAGCAGCAGCTGGAGGAAGAGGAGGTGGTGGAGCAGGAGGAGGAGCAGCGGCAGCAGCAGCAGGCGCAGCTGCGTTGTGCTGTTGAGTATCAGAGCAGTGAATTGCTTTTAGGGCCTCATCGGTTAGTGGTGCTGCAGAACGAGCGGAGGCTAGAGCCAGAGTCATGCTCGTTGCAATCAAACCCGTTGGAGTCACACCCGTTTGAGTGTCGTTACAATCAGACTGAGGCCGACGGTGTCTCGAGTGACGCTCTTCCTGCCCCGAGTCTGCTTGAAGTGCTGGCTGTTGCTGCTGCTGAGAGTGAGCGGGCTGATGGGGGGGCCAGCAATGGCAGGTGTGTGGGAGGGGATAAGGGTGGAATGGGAAGGGAGGATGGAAGAGTGGGATGGGAGAGCGCGGGTGGGGTGGATGAGTGGGGTGGATGGATGGGTGGGGCAGGCGGGGCGAGGAGGTGGGGGGAATGGAGAGGGGAGGAAAGCTGGGGAGAAGGGGAGGAGCAGGAGAAGATGGAGGAGGGGGGAGGGGGGGGGGGAAGTGAGTGAGAGAGGAATAGATCTATCACAAGAGGGAGATGCAATTGATAGAGGATTCCTTTTGAGGCGCCTCAAAAGAGATGCAATTGATAGAGAATTCCTTCCACAGGACTCTCTTGGTTCTGAAGGGATGCACTCTCAGGATTCCCCGATGCTGGCACTGTTGTCTCTGGCGAACCTAGCTCACACCACGTCTGATTCTGCCGAACCTGCGTTTCTTGCCGGACCTACACCTCCTCCGAAGCTGGCCCCGATTCTGGAATCCGCTTCTCCTGCCGAGCCTGCTGCGGCCGCACCTCCACCCGAGCCTGTGCCTGCACTCAAACCTGCTTCAGAATCTTCTCCTGGACACCTGTCTAAGCGTTCCCTGTTGTTTGAAGCCCCTCAGGAGGATAAGGAAGAGGTGGGGGAGGAAGCAGAAAGGATCAGGGAGGAGGAGAGGGAAGAGGAGGAGAGGGAAGAGGAGGAGAAGGAAGTGGAGGTGAAGGAGGAAGTAGAGGGGAATGGTGATGAGGAGGAGGAAGAAGGGGAAGAGGAAACACAGTTTGAGAACCCGTGGGACCTGATTCTGAACGTGCATGCATCTTCAGGGTCTGACTCTGGGAGTGAAGGAGGGGGGGAGAAACAGGAAGAGAGAAGGGGAGAGAGCGGGGGAGGGAGAAAAAAGGAGCCGGGAATCGTGTCTGAGGGGGTGCTGGAGGAGTTACCAGTGCTACAGGGCGTGTTCAAGCTTCCGAGACCAGAAATTTCGACTTTTGAGCCGACGCCGGAGAAGGGCGGGAGGGGAGGTGCTGGCGGTGGTTCTGATGCTGAGGAGGATGACGAGGAGGATGCGGATCCTTGGAGCCTGGATTCGCTGCCGTGTGGTGACGTGGCAGGTGTGGCTGACGTGACAGGTGTGGCTGACGTGGCAGATGTGGCTGACGTGGCAGGTGTGGTTGACATAGCAGGTGCAGGTGGTGTGGCAAATAGGGGAGTAGGGAGAGGGAACGAAGTCACCAGGGGAGGAGGCAGAGATGGGAGTAAGGCGAAGGAAGGAGGGGAGGGAATGGGGAGGGAGCGGGAGGAGGTTGCGGCAGTAGTGGAGGCTGGCGATGTAAATGCAAGGGATTCGGGTAATGCAAGGGATGCTGGTTTGAGTTGTAAAGGTACAACTGATGGTGGTGAGAGTGTGCGTGAGGAGAGTTCTTCTAACGGGGAAAGTGCTTATAGTAAGGACGCAAGTGGTGCGGATATGAGTGGTGCGGATATGAGTGGTGGGGATTCGTTTATCGATCTTGCATCTGATACAACTGAATCAAGTGCCGAAGCTGCTGTTGCTGCTGGTGATGAAGGTTCAACTGTTGAAGTTACAGGTGCTGAGAAACTTCCTGAGAAATCACCTGAGAATCCACCTGAGGATATGCCTGGGAAATTCCCTGCTGGTGTTTCAAGTGGTGCAACTGTCGCAACGGCTGGAGTTACTGCAGCCAGTGCTGATGCGCCACCTGGCGTGCTCCAATTCGCGACCAAAGAACAGCCAAATCTGCTGACGTATTCAAGGAAGAAGGCAGGGGGTGGTGCGAGTGCAAGTCAAGAGGGGCTTGGTGCTGATGTGAGATCGAAAGGGGGAGAAGAGGGAGTGAGAGAAGGAGGGGCCAATGCTCCTGTGGCAGCAAATGGGGCAGGTGCATCTGGGACAGGTGTATCTGAAGCAACAGGGAAGGCAGCTGTATCTGTAGCAGCAGGGAAGGCAGGTGTACCTGTAGCAGCAGGAAAGACAGGTACATCTGCAGCTGTGCGAATTGCTGGAGCTGCAGGTGTAACCGAGGGAGGTGTACATGCCACTGCAACTCAGGTGCTTGTGCCAAGAGCAGGAGTGGCTGTATGGGGGAGGGGACGAGGGATGGCTGTGGGGGGACGGGGGCAAGGGGTTGTGATGGGAGCAGGTGGGGTGTTGTTAGCAGGGAGGGGAAGGGGTCTGGTGAGTGGGCGGACAGGAGGAAGGGTTGGTGGGAGGGGCAGAGGGGGCCTTGTGTGGAACCGGAATGCTGCCGCTGGTGCTGCTGGTGCAAGTGCTCCTAATGCTGGTGCTGCTGGTGTGCCATCTAGTTCAGGTGCATATAAGAGGCCTGCATTCCCTGCTGCTAGCAAGAAGCTCACGTACTCTCTTGCTGCTGCTACAGCCGCTGCTGCCGCTACAGCTGTTACAAGTGCTGCAGCTGCTACAGCTGCTACAGGTGCTGCAGCTGCTACAGCTGCTACAGCTGCTACAGCTGCTGCAGCTGCTGCAGCTGCTGCAGCTGGAAAGGTTACCTCTGCCGCTACCGGGACTACGAAACCCGTGGCTACTCCTGTAGCAGCTGTAGCAGCTACAAGTGGGAAGCTAGGCGCCCTTGCTGGGGGAGCTACAGCTGTAGCAGCTGCTACAGCCGGGCATGCGGGCATATCTGTGGGCCGGCCTAAGCTGGTTGTTAGACGGCTTGTGCCTGCTAAAGCTTCCAAGGCCCCTGGTGCTGCTGCTGCTGCTGCTGCTGGTTCTGCTACTGCCGGTGCTGCTGCTGTGGGTGCTGGTCCTGCTGCTGGTGGTAATAGTGCTGCTGCTATTGCTGCAGTTGAGGCTGCTGCCGCTGCCGCTGCTGCTGCTGCGGCGGCTAAGGCTGCTACTGGTGCTGCTGCTGCTGCCCCTGCAAAGGAGGTCCCATCGCCTGCCCCCTCCACCCCGAAAAAGAATCCCTCTCGTGCCCTGCCAACCCCCAAAAAGGCATCTCCCTTCACGACTGTCTCACCTTCAACTTTTGTCTCCCGCCGCTCCACCGCTGCTTCCATTGCCGCATCAGTCGGTGCTGCGGCCTTCAACCGGAGGTACGTGTGTGCATGCTGCACCCCTGGCGTGTGTGCATGCAGCACCCCTGGCGTGTGTGCATGCTGCACCCCTGGCGTGTGTGCATGCTGCACCCCTGGCGTGTGTGCATGCAGCACCCCTGGCGTGTGTGCATGCAGCACCCCTGGCGTGTGTGCATGCTGCACCCCTGGCGTGTGTGCATGCAGCACCCCTGGCGTGTGTGCATGCAGCACCCCTGGCGTGTGTGCATGCAGCACCCCTGGCGTGTGTGCATGCAGCACCCCTGGCGTGTGTGCATGCTGCACCCCTGGCGTGTGTGCATGCAGCACCCCTGGCGTGTGTGCATGCAGCACCCCTGGCGTGTGTGCATGCAGCACCCCTGGCGTGTGTGCATGCTGCACCCCTGGCGTGTGTGCATGCAGCACCCCTGGCGTGTGTGCATGCAGCACCCCTGGCGTGTGTGCATGCAGCACCCCTGGCGTGTGTGCATGCTGCACCCCTGGCGTGTGTGCATGCAGCACCCCTGGCGTGTGTGCATGCAGCACCCCTGGCGTGTGTGCATGCAGCACCCCTGGCGTGTGTGCATGCAGCACCCCTGGCGTGTGTGCATGCTGCACCCCTGGCGTGTGTGCATGCAGCACCCCTGGCGTGTGTGCATGCAGCACCCCTGGCGTGTGTGCATGCAGCACCCCTGGCGTGTGTGCATGCAGCACCCCTGGCGTGTGTGCATGCAGCACCCCTGGCGTGTGTGCATGCAGCACCCCTGGCGTGTGTGCATGCTGCACCCCTGGCGTGTGTGCATGCTGCACCCCTGGCTGTATCATCAAGGTATGTCCTTCTGGCTTTCACTCAAAGGCACATGTCTCCCGCCGCTCCACTGCTGCTTCTATCGCCGCATCCGTCGGTGCTGCGGCCTTCAACCGATGGTACGTACATACGGCACACCTGGCCTTAACATTGAAGTAAACCCCCCAAAAGGCTTGCCCTTCACGACTGTCTCACTTTCAGCTTCTGGCCCCCGCCGCTCCACTGCTGCTTCTATCGCCGCATCTGTCGGTGCTGCGGCCTTCAACCGGAGGTGAGCAAGCACACTCCCTTGACGTTAGCTTCAAGATAAGCATTCCGCCGCTCCAAGCCTTCTGATAGAAGGATGTGCTTTGCCTGTTTTAAGACGTCTCAAAACACGTTAGCTTCAAGATAAGCATTCCGCTGCTCCAAGCCTTCCAATAGAAGGATGTGCTTTGCCTGTTTTGAGACGTCTCAAAACACGTTAGCTTCAAGATAAACATTCCGCCGCTTCAAGCCTTCTGATAGAAGGATGTTCTTTGCCTGTTTGATAGGTCTCCCCTCCCGCACTACCTCTCGCTCTCGCTTCTCTTGCAACAAAACCCTGTCACCCACCAACCAACCTGCCGCCCTGGCCTGCCCCTCTCTATTCCTCTCTCTTCCTCTCCCACTGCCGCTCCAAGCCTTCGGATACCTGGATGTGTGCATTGCCTGCTTGATATGTGAAGTGAGGGTGTTTTTGAGACTTCCCCACTGCCGCTCCAAGCCTTCTGATACCTAGATGTGCTTTGCCTGCTTGATATGTCTCACCTCCCACAACATATGTGATCCACATTTTAAAATTCCTAAAAATGATGTAACAACCTCTCGCTCTTGTGTCTCTTGCAACAAAACTCTGCCACGTCACCCACCAATCCCTGCTGCACCTCCCTGTCCCTGCTGCACCTCCCTTTCCCTGCTGCACCTCCCTGTCCCTGCTGCACCTCCCTGTCCCTGCTACACCTCCCTGTCCCTGCTGCACCTCCTTGTCCCTCTCCCTGTCCCTCTCCCTGTCCCTCTCCATTCCTTCTCTTCCTCTCCCTCTATCACGCTTTCTCCCTCTCTCATTCTCTCAGATTCGTGGCACAGCAGCTTTACACGCGCTCCTCCTCAGGCTTCTCGCTTCGCCGCTCAGGTGCGTGCTTGTGCTCTTTTGCTCGCTCGTCCGCTCTTTGTGAAATAATTTTCGAGGCGCCTCAAAAGCCGCTCAGGTGCTCGCTTGTGCTCTTTTGCTCGTCCGCTCTTTGTGAAATCTTTATCTTTCCTTCTCTTCGTTTTCAATTTTAGGGATGTCTTAGAAAGGTGCTCATGTGTTTGGGCTCTTTCGTACCTCTGCTCGTTTATAACTTGATGTTCAAATGCAGCAACAACAGGTTTGAAAGGAGCTGGAGTGACTTTATTTCTCATGCTCCGCATGTTTCTGCCCTACCCAACTGGAAGGCTTTGTAGCAAATGTTTTCTCGTTTTGGTCTGGTGTTTGCTTGTTTATTTGCTGCTGCTACTGCTGCTGCTACTGCTGCTGCTGTTGCAGGTGTGCGGGCAGCACGTGGTGCGAAGAGCCTGCAGTGGAGCAAGGAGCAGCAGGAGCAGGAGAAGAAGGCTAGAGAGGTGAGAGGAAAGAGTGAGGGGAGAGGAAGAGAGAGAGGTGAGAGAAGAAAGTGAGGTGAGAGGGAGAGAGGTGAGAGGGAGAGAGGTGAGAGGAAGCGAGAAAGGTGGGGGAGAGTGAGGTGAGAGGAAGAGAGAGAGGTGAGAAAAGAAAGTGGGGTGAGAGAGAGTGAGGTGAGAGGAAGACAGGGGTGGGGGAGAGTGACGTGAGAGGAAGAGATATAGGTGAGAGAAGAAAGTGGGGTGAGAGAGAGTGAGGTGAGAGGAAGAGAGGAAGGTGAGAGGAGAGAGGAGAGAGTGAGAGGTGAGAGGAGAGAGTGAGAGGTGAGAGGAGAGAGTGAGGCAAGAGGAAGTGAGAGTGGTGAGAGGAAGTGAGAGAGGAGAGGAAGCGAGAGAGAGAGGAGAGGAAGCGAGAGAATGGAGAGGAAGCGAGAGAGGGGGGAGGAAGCGAGAGAGGGGAGAGGAAGCGGGAGAGGGGAGAGGAAGCGGGAGAGGGGAGAGGAAGCGGGAGAGGGGAGAGGAAGTGGGAGAGGGGAGAGGAAGCGGGAGAGGGGAGAGGAAGCAAGAGAAAGGAGAAGAAGCGAGAGAGAGGAGAGAGAGAAGAGGAATTCCTCTCCTCTCCTCTTTTCTCTCTTGTCCTTTCCTCTCTTCTTTCCTCCCTCTCCTTTCCTCTCCTCTCTCTACTCCTCTCTTCTCCTTTCCTCTCCTCTCCTCTCCTCTCTCCTCTCCTCTCGTCTCCTCTCCCCTTCACTCCTCTCCTCTCCTCTCTCTACTCCTCTCTTCTCCTTTCCTCACTTATCCTCTCCTCTCCCCTCCTCTCCTCTCCTTCTCCTTTCCTTCCTCTCACACTTTCGTTCTCCCACATTTTATCTTCTCTACCTGAGGAGGCAGCAGCAGAATCTTCCAGGAAGCAGCGACAGTGGAATGAAATCACAGATGGGAATAGCAAGGATGCCTGACTTCCTTCTTTCTAGTTGTCTTTTTTTTCTTTCTTTCTTTCTTTCTTTAGTTTTTTTTTTTTCTTTCTTTCTTTCTTTAGTTCTTTCTTTCTTTCTTTCTTCAGTTTTTTTCTTTCTTTCTTTCTTGAGTTTTTTTCTTTCTTTTCTTTCTTTAGTTTTTTCTTTCTTTCTTTCCACTCTACTGTTGCGTTTTCCTCTCCTTTGGATCCTTCAGGAGGCCACCAAGGCAGCGGCGGAAGCTTCCAGGAAGCATCAACAGCGCAAAGAGGCAGTGGAGAAAGCAAAGAAGGCGATTGCAAGGAGCCAGGCGGAGCAGCGGGCTAAGAGGCGGGCAGAAAAAGAGCGCATCCGGGCAGAGAACGCAAAAGTTAAGGCTGCCCGGATGGCTTCCCGGGCGGCGGCAAAAAAAGCCGGTGCTGCTATTCTGGCAGCAAGGCGGCAGCAGAGTGAGTGTGTAAGGGGAAAGGAAAAAGGAGAGGGTTGGGTGCATCTGCTGGGAGTGGTTGTGGGGGAAGGATTGTGGCTGCACAGGTGTAGAAGGAATCGGTTCCGCACCTCAGTTTTATGGTTTCAATATTCTACTCTGACCCCTCCTCATTCCTCTCCACCCCTCCTCACACCTCTCCACCCCTGCAGCCACGGTGTTTCAGGGGTCCTCAGTATATCGACTGGCAGCCAAGGGCCGCTCGCTTGTGCGCCTCAGCAGTGAGTAAAGGGGGGATGCTGAGAGGTGCTGGGGGGTGCGGTGTGGTGTTCCGGAGGTCCTCAGTGTATCGACTGGTAGCCAAGGGCCGCTCGCTCGTGCGCCTGAGCAGTGAGTAAAGGGGGATGCTCGTGGGTGCTGCTGGGTTGAGGGGGTGCTCGAGGCGTTGGGAGGGAGCTAGGGAGTTTGAGTTCAGGGTGGTTGGGGCAAACAGTTGACTTTTGAGTCGACTCAAAAGTCAACTTGGGAGCTAGGGAGTTTGAGTTCAGGGTGGTTGGGACAAACAGTTGACTTTTGAGTCGACTCAAAAGTCAACTTGGGAGCTAGGGAGTTTGAGTTCAGGGTGGTTGGGGCAAACAGTTGACTTTTGAGTCGACTCAAAAGTCAACTTGGGAGCTAGGGAGTTTGAGTTCAGGGTGGTTGGGACAAACAGTTGACTTTTGAGTCGACTCAAAAGTCAACTTGGGAGCTAGGGAGTTTGAGCTCAGGGTGGTTGGGGCAAACAGTTGACTTTTGAGTCGACTCAAAAGTCAACTTGGGAGCTAGGGAGTTTGAGTTCAGATTGGTTGGGGCAAACAGTTGACTTTTGAGTCGACTCAAAAGTCAACTTGGGAGCTAGGGAGTTTGAGTTCAGGGTGGTTGGGGCAAACAGTTGACTTTTGAGTCGACCCAAAAGTCAACTTGGGAGCTAGGGAGTTTGAGTTGAGGGTGGTTGGGGCAAACAGTTGACTTTTGAGTCGACTCAAAAGTCAACTTGGGAGCTAGGGAGTTTGAGTTCAGGGTGGTTGGGGCAAACAGTTGACTTTTGAGTCGACCCAAAAGTCAACTTGCGAGCTAGGGAGTTTGAGTTGAGGGTGGTTGGGGCAAACAGTCATGCAATGCCTCAAGGGCTGTTCGCTCGTGCGCCTGAGCAGTGAGTAGGAGGGGGAGGGCTGGGGACGGGGGGAGACGTCTCAGGAACCATTCGCTTGTGCGCTTGAACAGTGAGTAGAGGAGAGGGAAGGAAGGGAGGGGTTTGAAAAGTCTCAGAACACTGCTTTTATCACGGGACTAAAGAAGACGTTCTGAGAACCGTCTGCTTGTGCGCCTTAAGAGTGAGTACTTGGGGGTTGCTGGAGGAGTTGCAACATTTAGGGGTTGTCCTCGTGTGCAGACATGCAATGCGTTTCACAATGCCTACTTTCCTTATATAGTGCTGTGCGCGGATATTCTTGATCAGCTGTGCTATTTTGCTTTCCCCTTCCCAGCAGGCGGTTCAGCCAAGGACAAGTCGCCACGTGGCAAGGCACACGCACACGCACACCTGCCAGTGCCGCTCACTGCTGCTCTCACTGCCACGAGCTATCAGCGTGCTGGCAGGCAGGGCAACCAGCTGGTGCGGGACTCCAAGGCTGCCATGCGCACTGCTGCCGGGTCAGTTGTGTGAGAATGGACTGTTATGTCGAATCACGAACCACACTTGCCCGTGCCTCTCACTGCTACACTGCACCAGCTGCTGCCACCAGCCTCCAGCCACGAACTACAGGCGTGTGGGCAGGCAGGGCAACCAGCTGGTGCGGGACTCAAAGACGGCCATGCGCACCGCTCCTGGGTGAGTCGGGTGCGAGAGAGGGCCCTTATGATCCCAAACCTGTCTATCAGGGGGCATTGTTCTTGTGCTCTTGCTGCCAGGAGTTACCGGCGTGTGGGCAGGCAGGGCAACCAGTTGGTGCGGGACTCCAAGGCCGCACCGCTGCTGGGTGAGTGAGTCGTGTGTGAGAGGGGCATTTGGCATTCCTTCTGCTTTCGCTGCCACCAGCTACAGGCGTGTGGGCAGGCAGGGCAACCAGTTGGTGCGGGACTCCAAGGCGGCCATGCGCACCGCTGCTGGGTGAGTGAGTCGTGTGTGAGAGGGGCATTTGGCATTCCTTCTGCTTTCGCTGCCACCAGCTACAGGCGTGTGGGCAGGCAGGGCAACCAGTTGGTGCGAGACTCCAAGGCGGCCATGCGCACCGCTGCTGGGTGAGTGAGTCGTGTGTGAGAGGGGCATCTGGCATTCCTTCTGCTTTCGCTGCCACCAGCTACAGGCGTGTGGGCAGGCAGGGCAACCAGTTGGTGCGGGACTCCAAGGCGGCCATGCGCACCGCTGCTGGGTGAGTGAGTCGTGTGTGAGAGGGGCATCTGGCATTCCTTCTGCTTTCGCTGCCACCAGCTACAGGCGTGTGGGCAGGCAGGGCAACCAGTTGGTGCGGGACTCCAAGATGCCGTAGCACACCTTCGTGCCTCCCACTGCACCTCTCACAAGCACCTGCTACCCGCCTGTGACTTTTGAGTCAACTCAAAAGTCACCTTTTGAGTCGACTCAAAGGGCAGGGCACAAACAGAGCACACCTTCGTGCCTCTCACTGCACCTCTCACTGCACCTCTCACTGCACCTCTCACTGCACCTCTCACGAGCACCTGCTACCCGCGTGTGGGCAGGCAGGGCAACCAGCTGTTTCAGGACTCAAAGGCCTTTGTAGCGGGGCAGCGGCATGGGGCGGGGTGGGGCAGCAGCACGGGGCGGGGTGGGGCAGCAGCACGGGGCAGGGTGGGGCAGCAGCACGGGGCGGGGTGGGGCAGCAGCACGGGGCGGGGTGGGGCAGCAGCACGGGGCGTGGTGGAGAGTGGTTGTGTTCTCACACCACGCGCCACACGCATGCTGAGCGGGGAGCTGGGAGGGGGAGCGGGGAGCTGGGAGGAGGAGCGTACATTGCAACCCCCACTCCCCCCTCCCCGCTCTTCTCCCTTCCTTCCACCCACCCCGCTCTGCCCTCGTCCCTTTCCGTTGACCAACCACCCTCCGCTCCCGCTCTCCAATCCGCATCTCCCCTTCCTTCCCCTCTTTTCCTTTCCCAACCCCTCTCCCTCCGATCACATCAGGGCTCGAGTGCGCTACAGCCTTCAAAATGCGCGCTACAGGCGGCAGAAGCAGCAGCAGCAGCAGCTGTGCCAGTACTTCACTCGGCTGGGGCAGTGCAGCAAGAAGGATTGCCGTTTCCTGCACGATGCGAGCAAAGTGGCGTTATGTGTGCGGTTTATAAGGGGGATGGAGTGTGACGAGTCTAGATGCAAGCTCACACACAAGGTAAGTGTGAATACTGGATGGTGTGTAATCACCGGACCGGATCACCTCAAATCAAACCAAACCAAGCCGCCTCTTTTCTTAAAATTTGAAACTGTTTGTTTCGAACTGGTCACTCAGGTCGTCGTAAACCCGACGCAACTGCACCTTCCGAAGAGTGACTATACTTTCCCCCCGTATCGATCTCCTCGCCCCTCCCTTTTCTATTCTCTCTCTCTGCAGATCATCCCAGAGCGTATGCCCGATTGCACCTTCTTTTCCAAGGGTGAGTCTGTCAGGTCAGGTTGTGCCCTGCTAGGTTATTTGTGTGTGATGCACTAGCTTGGCCGTGCACCCGCAAGTCCCTAGTCTGGCTCTTATTTCACGCGACTTGTTTTGAACCTACGCGTTGTGCAGCAACAAGCCGTGTGTATATTGCCATGTGAAGCTCCCAGCACCCACCCCCGTGTGCCCTGATTTTCTCAGCTCACTTGATCTCTCTGCTTTTATACCCAGTAACAGCCCACCACCCCACTCCCGCCACCCCGCCTCTTTCCCACACCAGGCACCTGCAGCAACAAGCCATGCGTGTATCGCCATGTGAAGCTCCCAGCAGACACCCCCCCGTGCGCTCAGCTCACCCAAGCTCACCGCCATTGGCTCCCCCCTTCTCCCTCCCTTCCCCCACCAGGCACATGCAGCAACAAGCCATGCGTGTATCGCCATGTGAAGCTCCCAGCAGGCACCCCCGTGTGCCCCGCTTTTCTCAGGGGATACTGCGAGAAAGGGCTTGCGTGCACACAGCAGCACACGTATGATTGTCCCGAGTTTGCTTCTAAAGGGGATTGCGCAGCAGGGAAGAAGTGCAGGCTTTGGCACAGGAAGAAGGCAGAGGAGGGGAGTGGCAAGGGGGGGGGTAAGAAGAGGAAGAAAAGATACTGGGAAGAGGAAGAGGGGGAAGAGGAGGAGGAGGTGGAGGGGGAGAACGAAGCAGGTGGCAAGAAGAAAAGAGTGAAGCTGGGGGGAAAAGAGGGGGAGGAAAGCGAGGTGAGCGAGGGGAGTGAGGGGAGTGAGGGGGAGGGGGAGAAAGGGGGGAGGAGGAAGGGGAAGGGAGGGAAGAAGAGGAGTGTTGGGAAGAGGAGAGGTAAAAACGTTTTGAAGTTTTTTGGTGGTGATAGTGAGGAGAGTGAGGAGGGGAGCGAGGAAGGGAGTGAGGAAGGGAGTGAGGAAGGGAGTGAGGAGGAGAGGGAGGAGGGGAGTGAAGAGGAGAGGGAGGAGGAGAGTGAGAAGGAGAGTGAGGAGGAGAGAGGGGTGGAGAATGAGGAGATGGAAGTGGATGGTGTGGAGGAAGGAAAGAAGCAGAAGAGCAGAGGAAAAAACATTTTGAAGCTGTTTGGTGGTGATAGTGAGGAGGAGGGGGAGGAGGAGAGTGAGGAGGAGAGGGAGGAGGGGGAGGAGGAAGGGGAGGAGGAAGGGGAGGAGAGGGAGGAGGAGAGGGAGAAGGAAAGGGATGAGGAGGAGGAGGAGAGGGAAGAGGAAGAAAATAAGAGCAAGGGTGGGAAACGTAGAGCGAAAAGTTTGTTAAAGTTGTTTGGTGGGGATAGTGACGAGGAGGAGGAAGAGGAGAGTGAGAAGGAGGGTGAGGGGAGTGAGAAGGAGAGTGATGGGAGTGAGAAGGAGAGTGATGGGAGTGAGAAGAAGAGTGAAGAGAGTGAGAAGGAGAGTGAAGAGAGTGAGAAGGAGAGCGAGGATGAGTATCAACCGGAGAATGAAGATGAGAGTGAGGAGTGGGATGGTGGGGAGGGGGAGGAGACGGAAGTGGGGGTTGAGGAGGCGAACGGAGAGAGGAGTGGGGAGGATAATGAAGAGAGGAGTGGGGAGGAGAATGAAGAAGAGAGTGAGGAGGAAAAAGAAAGCAAGGGTGTGAAGAGCAGTCGAAGAACTGCTTTGAAGGTCATTGGTGGGGATAGCGAGGAAGAGGATGAAGAGGAGAGAGAAGAGAAGAGGGTAGAGGAGAGGGAGGAGCATGAGAGGAAGGAAACGGAGGAGGAAAGGGAAGGGGACGAGGAGCGAGAGGGGAGTGAGGAGGAAGGGGAAGAGAGGGTGGAGGAGCGTGAGGGGGACGGGGGAGGAGAGAAGGAAGAGGAGAGGGAAGAGAGGAGGGGTGGAGAGCGAGGAAAGAAGGGAAAAGGGAATAAAGGGATGAAGAAAGGTAAGCAGGTGGAGAGGACGGATGAAGAGAATGAGGAGGTATGGGAGGAGGAGAGGGGTGTAGTGGGAGGGAAGAAGGGAAGAAGGTTGAGATTGATGAAAGGAGGGAAGAAGGTGGAGATAAGATGTGAGGATAGTGAGGGGGAATGGGAGGAGGCACAAGATGAGGCTGGCTGGGAGAGGGATGTAGAAGGAGAAAAGAAGGGAAGAATGTTGAGATTGATGAAGGGAGGGAAAAAGGTGGAGGTAAGAAGTGAGGAGAGTGAGGAGGAAGGGGAGGAGGCATGGGTGGAGAGGGGTGGAGTGGGTGGGAAGAAGGGAAAAGGGAATAAAAAGGCGAAGAGAGGAGGAAAGGTGAAGAGAGGAGAAAAGGTGAAGAGGACGGGTGAAGATAGTGAGGAGGAAAGGGAAGAGGAAACGAACGAGGGGAGGGATGGAGAAAAGGAGAAAAGGGGGAGAAAGAAGAAAGGGAAGAATGGAGGTGAAAAGCTGGAAACGAGGGGCGAGACGACCGAGGAGGAAGGGGAGGAGATTGAGGAGGCATGGGAAGAGGTGGGCGGTGGGGAGGAAGGGAAAAGGGGAAGACAGAGAAACGGGAGAAAGAAAGGTAAAGGGGTGGAGAGGAAGGATGAGGAGATTGATGAGGAGAGGGAGGAGGAGAGGGAGGAGGAGACGGGTGGAGAGAGAAAGAAGAAGGGAAGCGAGAGTAAAAAGATGAAGAAAGGACGAAAGGGGAGTAGGAGAGGTGGGGATGGTGATCAGGAGAGGGAGGAGGATAGGGAGGAGGAAAAGGAGGAGGAACGCGAGGGCAAAAGGGAGGAGGATGAAAAGGAGGTGAGGGAGGAGGTGACGGTTAAGTTGCAAGAGAAGAAGGGGAATAGAGATAAGCGGGTGAAGAAAGGAAAGAATGTGGTGTTTGTAGGTGGGGAGAGTGAGGAGGAAAGGGAATTGGAGATGGGTGAAGAGAAGGGGAAGAAGGGAAGTAATAAGAGAGGGATGAAGAAGGGGAAGAAGGTGGAAAGGAAAGGTGTAGAGAGTGAGGAGGAAGAGGAGGGGATGGAGGAGGTGGAGGAGGACAGGGAGGCAAGGGATGAAAGGGGAAGGAAGAAGAAAGAAAAGAAGAGTGGGAAGAAGAAAGGTCAGAAGGTTGAGAGGGAGGAGGAGAGACGTGAGGAGGACAGGGAGGAGGATATGGCTGAAGAGGGAGGAAGGAAGAAAAGCAAGGATAAAGGGAAGAAGAAAGGGAAAAGGGTCAAGCGAAGGCATGAGGAGGAAAAGGAGGAAGGGGAGGAGGAGGAAAGGGATGAAAGGGAAGAGGAAGGGAAGGAGGATGGGGAGGCGGAGGAAAGGAAAGAAGGGGAGGAGGAAAGGGAGGAAGGTGAGGAGGAGGAAAAGGAAGGAGAAGAGGACGAACGGGTAGAAGGGGTGGAGGAGGCAGATCAGGAGATGGAGGAACAACTTGAGGCGAGAGGGAGCGAAGAGAGCGAGAGAGAGGCGAGGAGAGAGGCGAGGAGGAGGCGGCGAGAGAAGAGAAAGGAGGAGAGGTTTGTCATGGCAGCTGTGGCAGCGGCAGTGGCTGCTTCTGCTAATGATGCTGCTGCTACTGCTGGTGCTGCTGCTGCTGCTGCTGCTGCTGCTGCTGCTGCTGCTGCTGCTACTGCTGCTCGTGATGGTGATATGGAGGTGCTTGTTGCTGCTCCCATGTCGTCTGCTGTACACCCTGCCTCATGCACACAGAAGGGCAAGGGTAAGAAGGGAAGGAAAGTTGCTCCTGAGCCTCAGCCAGAGCCTGAGAGTAGAATTTCTGACACTCCTGCTGCTACTGCTGCTATTGCTGCTGCCACTACAGGCTCAAGCCCCTTGCTTGCAGGCTCAAGCCCCTTGCTTGCAGAGCCGGGTCCTGCAGTAAAGGGCAAGGGTAAGGGTAAGAAAAAGAGGAGGGTGGCTTTTGAACCTGAAGTGTCGGTTCCTCCTCTTCCTCCTCTCCCTGCAGCAGCAGCTGCTGCTGCCCCAAGTCCCACTGACTTGGAAGGAACGCCCTCTGATGCGGAAGCAGCGCCTGCACCTAGAGGCAAAGGCAAGGGGAAGAAGCAGAAGAAGGTGAAGAAGGCTGCTGCGCTGCCTGCTGCCGATGCTGATGCTGCTGATGATGATGATAATGATGATGTGGAAACTCCTGCTGTTTCAAACTCCTTGGACGCAGAAGCAGCCTCAGAACAGAAGAGCAAGGGTAAGAAGAGGAAGAGGAAGGCTGGTGACGAGTCTGAGCTTGAGAGTTCTGCTGCTGCTGCTGCTGTTGCCGATGGTGCTGCTGCTGATACTCAAAGCCCCTGTGATGTGGAGGTGGTTTCACCTGAGCCAAAGCGCAAGGGCAAGAAGAAGAAGAGGAAAGCTGGTGATGAATCGGGGCTTGAAAGTTCTGCTGCTGATGTGGAGGTGGTTTCAGAAGCGCGAGAGGCGGAAGCAGAGGCAGCAGCCGATGTGGAGGTGGTTTCAGAGGCGCCTAAGAGGAAGGGCAAGAAGAAGGGGAGGAAGGTTGTTGAAGAGTCTGAGCTTGATAGTTGTACTGCAGCAGCTGCTGCTGTTACCGATGCTGCTGATGCTCCTAGCTCCTGTGAAGTGGAGAAAGTAACAGAGGCTCCAGAGGGGGAAGCAGAGGCAACAGCTGATGTGGAGGTAATTTTACCAGCAGCTAAGAGCAAGGGCAAGTACAAGAAGAGGAAGGCTGGTGGTGGGACTGAACTCGCGAGTTCCGATGCTGTCGATGCTGCTGCTGCTGCTGCTGCTGCTGCTGCTGCTGCTGCTGCTGCTGCTGCTGCTGCTGCTGCTGCTGCTGCTGCTGCCGCTGTTGCTGCCGATGCTGATGCCGTTGCTGTTAATGCTGCTGATTCTGCTGCTGCTGCTGCTAATGCTCTTGCTGATGCCCCTGCTGATGGTAGTGCTGCAACTGCTGATCGGACCTGTGTTGCTGTGCCAAGCCCTGCTGCTGATTCTCCAAGTTCAGCTGTTGCTGGCGGGCAGGCTGGCGGGCAGGTTGCTCAGGGCGCTCGACCCAAGAAGAAATCTTTCATAGACTTTGTGAGGAGGCTGAAAGTGGCAAAGGGGGGCGAGGGGATGGGGAGCGGGGGAGTGGGGGGCGATGGCGCAGAGGCTGGAGCAGAGGCGGAGGGGGGTGGAGAGGGGAAAGGTGGGGAGGTGGGGGATGGTGGGGGGGGAGATGGGGAGATAAGGGGTCATGGGACGGGGATTGGGGAGGACACAAATGGGGTGAGTAAATATGGGGAGGTAAAGGATGGGGGGAAAGGGGATGGCACTAGTAGGGTGGTGAAAGGAGGGGATGATCCATTAGGTGGTGGAGGCGGATGTGGGGCAGGTAGACCTGGGGAAGGTACATCTGTGGCGAATGGCAGTGTGGTGCTGCTGCAAAGCAGTGTGCAGGCCACCAAACCTCGCGTTGCGGGCCGGTACTTTGCAGAAGAGGAAGAGGACGAGGAGGCGAGAAAGAGGGCCGAACGTGAGGCTCGATATGAGGCGAGCATGATTGTGGATGGGGTGGATATCTCCCATCTGAGCCGCAAGGAGCGCAAGCGGATAAGGTACAAGGCGCGGCGGCGGGAGATGCGGCGGCAAGAGGAGATGCGGCAAGCTGAGGAGTTGAGGCAACAGGAGGAGGAAGTGAGGCGGATAGAGGAGATGAGGCGATTAGAAGAGATGCAGAAAGTAGAGACGACGAGGCGAGATGCTGAGGTGGAGCAGATGGAGGAGGCGGGTGAGAGTCTTTTTGAGGCGCCTAAAGAAGAGATGCAGCAGCAAGAAGAGAAGATGAGGCGGGATGAGGAGGAGGAGATGGAGGAGGTGGCTGAGACGTGCAAACTGGTTGCCAGCGAACCAGCAGACACAGTAGCTCCTGAAGATGGTGCTGCTGCCGTCCCGCCTGCTGCTACTGCTGCCCCGCTTGCTGCTTCTGAGACGTGCAAACTGGTTGCCAGTGAGGCAGCAGACACACTAGCTCTTGAAGCTCCTTCTGCTGCTCCTCCTCCTGATGCTGCTGCTGCTGCTACTGCTCCTGCTCCTCCTTCTCCTCCTGCCTCTCCTCCTTTCTCTCCTCCTCGTCCTCCTGCTTCTCCTCCTCCTGCCTCTCCTCCTGCTCCTCCTGCTTCTCCTCCTCCTGCCTCTCCTCCTGCTCCTCCTGCCTCTCCTCCTCCTGCCTCTCCTCCTGCTCCTCCTGCTTCTCTCCCTCCTGCCTCTCCTTCCCCCCTTCCTCCATCGCCTCCTTCCCACCCTCCTCCAGCTTCCCTGGATGCATATCTGTCATCTTTGGAGGCCACTGCTCGTCCCACTGCTGGTTCATCTCTGGCTCCTCCTCCTCCGCCTGCTCCTCCTGCTCCTGCTCTTCTTCCCGCTCCTGCTCGTCTGCCTGCTGGGTCATCGCATGGAGCAAATGGAGCCTTGCAAACTGCCTTTCCACATGCGCCACCCTTCCCTCCACCTGCTGCTGTGCCTTCTATGGTAGCAAATGCAGGGGGATGGTATGCTCCCCGTCCTCCTTTTTGTGTACCCCTGACTGCTGCTGCTGCTGCTGCCGCTGCTGCTCCTCGTCCTTTTCTTCATGGATTCCCAACTGCTCCCCCTCCGCCTGCTTCTGGTGCATCTCGCAATGCTACTCAGCCTTACAACGTGTATCAACACCAGAATGTTTATCGCCCTCACAATGCTTATCAACATCACAACGCTTATCAGCATCCCAATGCTTATGACATGCACAACGCTTATCACCCTCACAACCCCTTTCAACCTCCCCAAGCTCCTCATCCTCACAACGCCGCCCCCCAGCCTAGGCCTGCTCCTCCTGCTTCTCCTACTCCTGTTCCTAACACTGCTACACACTTTCCTGCTGCAACCGCTTCTGCTGTCCAAGGGACTGCTGCTAGAGAGCCTGCTCTAGAGTATCCTGCTCCTGTGCTGAAGCTGTTTTTCGGCGAGGGTGATGAGGAGGAGTGATGCTGTGCATTGCCCTGCAGCAGCAGCAGCAGCAGCAGCAGCATCAGCAGCAGTTGCACCAAACACTACTGCTGTTCTAGGGTCTGCTCCTAGAGAGCCCGCACCTGATTATCCTGCTCCTGTGCTGAAGCTGTTTTTCGGCGAGGGTGATGAGGAGTGATGCTGTGCATTGCCCTGCAGCAGCAGCAGCCGTGCTTGTAAGGGGGGGTGGGGGGTTGAGGATGGGAAAGGGGTACGTTACGTATGTCAGTGCTTGAAGTCTCCCCTTTTCTCTCTCCTCCCAATTGAATCTCTGTTGCCTGCTCCACCAAAGCTTTCTATTTTGGTTCGCATCTCTTGCCTCTCATCCCTCCCCACCTCTGATTCTTTTTCTTTGGGCTTGCAGATGCATTTTGCTTCCTCGTCTATCTGGTTCAAATTATCCACACAAACGAATGGTGTTTCTCACACAAATTCCAGCTCTGTAGTTGGGCCTTCTAGAGACACACTCGAAATTTGTGGATACCTTTAGTACCCATGAAATGCTTTTGGAGCTCAGGTGTTTAAAAGTGGAGACGAATGTAAAGAGAGCATTGAGGAAAAAAAAGGAATTTATGTGGATAAAATCCCTGCATGTTTATCAGGTGACATGACTGTACACGGTTATCCGTTTCACCTTAGTATACCTCCCTCACCGACAACCTCGAGGTTGTTGTCGGCGGGGCTACGGTTTCGGTGCACCCCTGATCTGTACCCCACATGTTGACAAACGACATGGAAATTACCTCGGGTCGCGGAAGAAAACGGTTTCGACGATGAACCGCAACCCGACGTGTGCCACGCTGGGAATCGCTCTGAGCAATTCAAAAAGCTTCAACGAAGTTTATTCACTTATTGGCGGTCTGCCCTTGCACTTAGCAGCACTTAGCGTGTCTCCTAATCCTGCTCCCCAATATCCCTGCAACTTCCATCCCGTCCTCCCTTTCTAATCCTGGCTGGCTAGCACCTGCCATATTGGGGTCGGGACTTGCCTGCCCTCCGCGTCCCCCCCTCACCCTCGTTTTCAACTCACGTCTTCCTATTCTCCCGAGCCAGCTCCTCTTCTCCGCGCCGTCCTTTTCTTCCGAACCGCTCCACTCGGCAATATCTGAGGCCCGACCAGAAACACTAAGACGAGGCTTATTTGAAGCTTTAGTAGCATGTGACGTGACGTCACGTCGGTTTGGATTAACTCGGCTTGGCTCCCGTTCTTGCTCCAGTGTCCCTCTCACCGCATTTTCGAGGTGTTTTCTAGTATGGTCTGTGACTGACAGGGGTACTATTTTGTCGTCCCTCTTGCAATCTTTGGCTTCTTCCTACCAAGCGCGACACACCTCTGACCGCGCTCTTTAGAAACGCCCTGCTTCCAGTCTGTGACACGCCACACTCACTCCCACTTGAACCTGGACGCAATACCCCGAGAAAGAAGATACAAAGACCGCGCCGTCACTTGTTCTTCCTTAAAATCGTCACCGTCTTTCTTCGTTAGCATAGTGATAGTACAAGTCGCGAGGCGCGGCAAAGGTGATCTCTTTAATCCCATTGTTCAAGGGCATATACCAAATTTGACAGTTTCGTTCATAATTTTGGTAACGGCGGGCTGACGACGACTCTTGGTCTTGTTTACATGTAGAGCAGTAGCACTACCTGATTGGCTGATTACCTAGTATCGGATGAAAAACTTTATGACTGCCAGATTAACATAGTACTACTATTATTGGTAGTTAGTAGTTATGCATATTCGGCAGGACACGACTTTATTTGCGACCTCCGTCTTCACGCGAGGTGCCATAGCAGACTCGCGAGGCGCGGCGTCTTCGGCGGAGGAGATAGAGACGAAGTGCCGGATTAAGGATCATAATGATAGTACTAGTAATAGGCTGGACGGCGAGCCGATTCCAGAATTACCACCAGACTGTATAGCGCGGCACTATGGTAGTAGTACCCTAGTTGGGCCGGAAGGGCTTTGCGGCATAGGAAATTGCAACGCCGCGCCGCCGCAAGACCCTCGCGTGCAGACGCCACCGCCAGATGCGGCGCATCCCTCGGCAGCAGCAGCAGAAGGCGGGCGGGTCTCGCCT